CTGTGCATTTTCGGACCACCCCCATTCGAACACATATTTTCGGTTATGTGAAGTATCTTGGAGTCATTTTAGAGAGATCACTTCACCGGGGACCCCACCTTTATAGAGGTACTGAGAGAGGAGAGGGGTCACTTATGGCATGCAGTAGAAAATATTATTGAATAGAAATTTCATTTGAAATTTAATTATTGAATTAAATATTTCATGCAATATAAACGGAATGTAAATAGGCTATTGATTTTCTGTTAACTTTTAATGAAGAGGGCCACCTGTCAGTAGCGGATCCACAGAGGGGCTAAGAGATGGTCAAGGTCATCCACCCAGTGTATTTATCCCCACGTGCGATAGAAAAGGTTTTAGGTTGTATACAAACTGGGAAAAACCTTGACTTTCAAGGAATTCTGAACAAAAAACTGGGGGAAATTCAGGATTTTCGGAGCCATTACCGGATTTGAATTTCAGCCATTATTCACTACAGCAGAAGAGTGTGAGAGGATCAATATTTGATCCAAGCCGAGCTTGGCCTAGAAGTTCGTGCACAAAAACGAAGCTTTAACACTGTGAAGTGCGCAATAACGAAAAATTCACGCATTTGCTGTGATAGCGAAAGATTCTGCTTGGACCTTTCCGTGGTCGCGGAAGTCAATGATAATGTCTACAAATCGTGGGAGGTGCTCGGGATTTTGCCGTGATGACAGATGACGATGACGTTTCCATGATCATGGGAGACGATGTTCATGACCACACAACCGCAGAAGATATTCATGATTTTGCCACCGATGACAATGTTTCCGTGAACATATGGCCAGTGGCTTTTTTTACATTTTAAAAGGGAATGGTCTAAACTCTGGTCTTGCAGTAATCTAATTAGATAGTAATCTAACGTCGACCTTTTTGTTAAACTTAGATATCATCATTAATTCATAGCCCAATGACAAATGACATCTGGGTCTGGAGACAATCTCGCTTGGATTATATTTCTTAATTTATTATGTTTCATTTTATCGGCCGTATAACTTATGTGTGTGCGCGCAATGTGTTTGTTTATGTGCTTCTTCAAAAACTGTTAGGCCTAACCCTGACTAAGTTAATCTTACTTCCATGTGAACTAATCATCCTGAGAGTCAGGGGTGGCTCCAGGAATAATTTTTTGGGTAGGCCTGACAAGGATCAAGAAAGTTTGTTTGAGGGATGAGAGGTTTGCAAGTGCTTCCCAGCAAAAAGGGGGGCATTTAATAATCTAAATGCAAATTAATTAGTTTGAATGCTTTCCCTTTTAACTTATTTACATAACTTATAGCCTAAAAAAAATTCTTTATTTAAACTTATTCATAATTTTGAAATATCTACTAAAATTTTGGGTAGGCCCGTGCCTACCTTCTAGAGCTGCCCTGCTTAGAGTACGGTTCGCACCTGATGATGACCTTTTAGCAGGTTGAAACTAATTAACTTAGTAGTGGATTACAATTGGATTGCCAGAACCAGGTATTTAAACCAATATGATTGACACTATAGTAATTCTTAACCCTAGCAGTGGCCAAACGTCGTCTGGTGACGGTTTGACGTTGATGCTTAGAATGGCCAGCCGTCGTCTGGTGACGGTATGGGCCGAAATTATTTTAATGGTAAAAAACACTTATAATCAACTGAGATGAGAATAATATATATACCATTCTAAAGATCACATTCTGAATTTTCGTTTTATTACATAAACAAACCCTGTAGCAGGTATATAACAATGTCACGACGATTAGAAATCAAATGAATTCTTGGCGCGGCACGACTTTAGCAGCCGACCCTTGGGAACTGGCAAAACACGTCTTGTTTGGCATTACCCTGCTCGGGTAATTTTCGTCTTGGGATGTTGCGGGTGGTACCACTGGATAGCCATTGATTTTATTTTCATTGTGGTAGTGATATTTTAGAACTAAATATTGATTGGACAATCGGTACGATTTTATGAAAACAGCTGTTTTCATAATTTATAACAAATGGCCAACCATCGTCAGGTGACTGTATGGAAAATACAAATTACATACAGTGTAAGTTATTATTACTAGTCATATAATATGTCATTTTGAAGAGGAAGAAATGTAGCTTGTGATAGTGGCAGCCCTGCGCTCAGGGTAATTTCGGTTTCTCTCACTAAGACGACTAAAGTGTGTCACTACTGTCAAGATCTCATACACAAAGTGCCTTGTATTCGCCATTGCGTGTTGTTGCCGGTGAGTTTTCGCTCTCGTTTTATCCGCGATTGATTACTAAACTCGTTATTATTTCGTATTTTTTTAGAAATGTGTATATAACAGTAATCTTCATGTATTTTATTATTCATGAATATTTACTGAATAGTGTCAAATTGTGTTTATAAAAGGTTGTATTTTTCTTTTGGTTGTGTTTATCTTCTGGTTGTATTTTGAGGTTTCCCGTTTATTTATATTATTATGCCCCTAGCACGAAAAACAAAAATTTTTACCCAACATGTTATACATTTTTATGTAGGTACCGGTAATTGAATACACTAAATACACTACAAGATGTTTATGTTGGTTTGAAGTAAAAACATTTGGTACAAAAGTTTTATACTAAATACTAAGTATGATTTTTTTTCTCATAAAATCGCTAAACTACAAAAACATTATTTTATTTATAAATAAAAAATATTTTTACCATAAACTTTTATGACTTTTTTTTATTCCTTACTTCATTAGCTTTACAAACATGTATATATCATTATTAGCGAATTTCCCATATAGGGAATAAGCTATTACCGTAGTACTCATGGTAAGACCTGGACGCGGGACCGATTTTTTTTTTCGTTTTGAGGTCCCTAGACGCCAAAAACACCATCCGTTCAAATGCATATATATATATTTATATATATATGTGTCCGTTAGCACGATAACTCGAGCAAAAATGATCCGATTTTGATGAAATTTGGTATAAACGTGTAAACCTACGTTTATTTGAACGAGTTCGCGATCCAGCATGATCGGACCATGGGAACGGGGGTTTACGGGGGGTTTTATAGGGTAAAAATAGGTTTTTCCCATTTTTGACCCAAAAAACATAAAATTTAGCAATTTCTTTCCAAACCATTTTGTAGAGCTTAAAAAAACCAATAATTTAGTATATTGATGCGTTATTATGCGCCTAATGGTTACGGAGAAAATTCCAAAAAAATGTAAATTTAAAATTCCCATGTTATTCTTATGGATAATAAGTAAACTGTTGTAGTTTGCTTGTTTATGAACATATTTTGATCAAATTTGGAAAATGTTTTTATTTCTTACTAACTATTAACATTTTACAAAAAAAAACAGTTTTACCCTCCCTGATGCAGCAAACCTAAGTACTTGTTAAACTAATTCTATTGAAATCGGGAATATTTGTAAGTAGACATTTCAGTGTAAATCAAATCAGTCAAATGGAAATTCGCTTAGTCTGCAGGTTTGCTGCGGCGGGGGTATTAGATTAATGACAGTATACACATAATATATTATATCTATATAATTAATACACTACATTAAACTTTGTCGGTTGAACTTCTCCGCCATTTCTTAACCGATTTTATCCATTGACGTCTCATTGGAAAGAGCGTGTCACGTAGATTTGCAAACTGGCCTTACATTTTTTAAGAAGTCCCTTAGGCTCTGCCCCAGTGGCTTTTAAAGTTCCCATGTTATCCTTATGAAGAACGTAATTGTTTACATTTTGATCAGCTGTATAATTTAATTGCTATACACAAATTACACATAATATATTATATAACTTTTTAAAACACAAACTAAAACTGTACGGTTTTCAATTTTTTCGGTTCTCCGTTTGTTATTATATTTTGCCCCAAAAACTTATACATTGGCCACTTCTAGGGTTAACGTATGAACAATAAAGAATATTGTAGGGCCTATTGTATTGTATTATTAGACTTGTACCTAACCAAACCGCCGTAGCAGTGATACAATGATAAACTTACAATGATTTCATTTGACCAAAGATCAACAATATTGTTACAGGCTATGCCAAACAGTACATACAAGTAGCCTATAAAGTGTGAATGAGTCTTCTTGAAAATACTCTGGGCTTTAAAATGTTTGTAGAAATTTAAAACAATTGATATTAACTTAAATGTCCCGTGCAAACTAGCCTATAACTTATGCGATACAATATTTATTTCAAACACAAAATTCATATTGTACATCGTAGGTTCTCTGCGGAACTGTAACTTATTCATGTTTTAATGTTGGCCTATTTTAAATAACTTATGTTGATTACCGTACTTATTGTTGGTAACTTAATTACGTTAAGTTACATGAAAGAAAAATTTATAATTGTAATAACTTTAGGCCTCTCTAAATAATAATCCTCTTTCGTAAACTTATTTAAAACTAAAGCTAGTAGATTTAAGTTACACTTATTCAAAACATTTTAAAACCCTTGTCTGCTAGATTCATTGGGACTAAACAAATAATCTCTTCCATTCCCCAGATTTTTTAGGTTGTCTCATTCTCTGTTGTTCTCAAATACTAAATTAACATAATAGGTAGGCCTAGTGAATGAGGCTTAACTTAGGCTAAGATCTAGTTTATTTTGTCCCTATTTAGTTACATCTTTTGAAGCACATTAGTTTCAGTTGGCTTTTGGGATAGTCAATTTTAATTTAAGCAGGCCTAATCTAGCAATCTAGCATGCTTCAGTAAAACCAGCTAAAATTCACCATTACCAAATATTTATTCTGTATGTAACCTTAATTGGGCTATCTTCACATTTGCCAAAGGAGTTAGATTATTGGGAATATGATATTGAATTCTTTAATTTTAGCTAAAACTCTTGCTACAACACGGGAGTCACAGTCACAGTGCACATCGTCTAAGGTCGATAGACTAAAGAAAAGATGGGAACGACAGAACCCCCGTCACCAGCAAGAGTTTCGTATTTTACCATTATGTACAACCCGACAAATTCGGATGCTTACAGGCTACAAATTTAATCCTTCTTACCTGGTTCATTACAATTTTCAGCAACTTGCAGCCACGCTTTGTTTCTTTCGGCTAATACATAATAATTCGGGTCAGAAGTGTCATATAGCGAGGTGAACTTCTTGACTTCCGAAATCAACAGTACGTTTTTCTCTGGTGGAATACTGGGGGTAACATCTTTTGCATTGAAACGTTCCATTTAATCAGTTAATGAAATAAACTCAGATTAATGACGATAAGTTACTTGCTCACAGGGAAAGTTACGTGTGAAATAATTATTTCAAAGAATAGTCGAACAGGTAACACAGCCTATACCATAAGAAGCCTAGTTACACGAGTCCACTATGGTCATGGCCTGTACAGTGTACACGAGAATTAAAAAGGCGTTGACTGGCGTGGCGTTCTCCGTTCTCCCCTTTGAACGCAGCACTCAGTCGGCGATGGGCGTCACTTTGAGGCTCACGGTGGCAGTGGATTCCAGCTCGGGATCTGGGGATCAGTTTATTTTGTCAAGGGACAAAAGCTCGCCCGTTATGAACACTTCTGCGAATTGATGTCTCGAGGATTCGTTTTATTTCACAAATGAGCACCTCTAAACCAGATTTAAAAAAAACTGCATATTATTCTCAAATGTATTGTATTAATTTTATTTTTGCAACTCGTAAACCCGCTAATAACTACTTATATGTTTGGGAGTACTGATACGAACAAATTTAATTAGTCTATATAGGCCTATAAAGTGTTATATATCTAATAAATAGCAAATAAATGCAATTATACAAACTAAGATTAAAAAATAATAATTAAATTGCTTGAAGATTAGTTTCAAAGTATCCTCGAAAGTAATGTTAAAATATTGTACAATTATGTACTATCAGCTATTGTACGTTCATATATAAAACATTAACTTATATGTTTTTTTTGTATCATAGATAAAACATAAATCCCTGATGTTAAAAGTATTTTATTAATAAATAGCAAATAAATGCAATTATACAAACTAAGATTAAAAAATAATAATTAAATTGCTTGAAGATTAGTTTCAAAGTATCCTCGAAAGTAATGTTAAAATATTGTACAATGTTGTACGTTCATATATAAAACATTAACTTGTATGTTTTTTTTTTTTTTATCATAGATCAAACATAAATCCCTGATGTTAAAAGTATTTTATTTGATTTATTAGTTATTCTGTTCAAATTTTGTAAAAGTATATTTACATATAATCATTTTCCATTGGCTTCGTGGTTAACGATTGGATACCAATAATGTAACACAGTTGAGGCGTGAGGGGTTCGATCTATGACTGTATGAGAAATGAAATGTTTGTCAACTTATAAGCAACGATTTTGAAACATTGCAATCATAATGATAATTTTTATACTTGAATGAATATTAGCCTTAGCAATTCAGAATGTCGTAAATTCGTGGAAGTGTTCATGTTATTGAGTTTAGCCATTGATAAAACCATCATACTATCAACACAAGTAACTAAGGGTCGGTAAGGGGGTTTTATTTATAAATCCTCTTATCATTCTTCAGTGACTTTTGCCCTGTACATTTCTGTATTATTATGGCAATAAACGATTCTTATTCTTATTCAGGATACTGTATTATAAAACATAAGTTACTGCACTCGCACTGCTCAAGATGCATACTCCTAGATCATACGTTTCAGAGAAATCCACCAGGGACCACAGCGGTCGTACCAATTTTCCCGAGCTTCAACTTTAACTCAACGCATGGCGATGAATTATCTACTTGAGGAGTATATTTTAACTATCATAATGATTTAGTCTATCCAATTAATTTGGTAAAAATCATAAGGTGTAGATTTGAACCAAATTTAGATTACAATTTAGCGACCGAAATGTATAACTTGTAGCAAAACCAAAGACGGAACTGTACTAAGAAACATAATTTTGATAATTGAAATTTACCTTTAATTTTAATACTTTAGATTACGTCATCATTACGCTCCTATAATCCAGTTACTTTTAACTTTTATAGCCCTTTGTGTGGTCGGTCCATTCCATTCCTTCCACCATGATTCCAGCCGTTGGGTCATAGATAGCGCGGTTCGCTGGTCTATGGTTGTGTGTTGCTGCAAAAATTATTATGCTGTCCGTTCCGTTTCAGTGCGAGTGATCCATTTTGTGCACTAATGGTTTTGTGGTTTTGTGTTGGGGACTAGGACTAGTTTAGAGCGAAGTTGAACTCACTCAACTCAATCTTTCAAACATAAACAGCAACAGCTGAGCTGCGTTTCCCATAACCTCAACTAGCCTAACTTTTCATTTCTTTCTATTTCTAACAATAAACAATCCAAGCAAGATCAACACATCAAGTTAAACATAACATCGAGGTTAGTAGTACGTAGTACGAAGATAAAAAAGTCAATGGTAGGCCAATAGGAGGATTAAACATGTTTATTAATCCTAGGATTAGTAATCACCACTTCATCAAACGTTAACATGGCCTAATTGATCCATTTAGATATTTTGGTTAGCCTATTTGTTGACCATTTTTTTCTCATTATTTGGGCAATTTTGAACACTTTTTCCATTTGGCACTTATGGGGCAAACGCCTATTTCACCCTGAAAATCGCGTATGAAAATGGCAACTTAAAATTGATAATAGGCTTATCGGGGTTTTATAGGGTCTATAGGCCTAGGGAATAAGCTATTACCATAGTAAGTTACTCATGGTAAGACCTGGACCCGGGACCGATTTGATTTTTCATTTTGAGGTCCCTAGAGGCCAAAAACACCTTCCGTTCAAATTCGTATGTATGCGTTATATATAAATTCAAATATAGGCTTTATATATTTGTGTCCGTTAGCACGATAACTCGAGCGAAAATGATCCAATTTTGATGAAATTTGGTACAAACCTGTAAACCTACGTTTATTCGAGCGAGTTCGCGATCCAGCATAATCGGACCATGGGAACGGGGTTTTATGGGGTAAAAATGGGGTTTTCCCATATTTGACCCTAAAAACAAAAAAATTTGCAATTTCTTTCTAAACCGTTTTGTAGAGCTTAAATAAAGAAATAATTTAGTATATTGAAGCGCCATTGTTACTTATGCCTAATGGTCACAGAGAAAACAAAAAAATAGTGTACCTTAGGCCTAATTTAAAATTCCCATGTTAGTCTTATGGAGAAAACGAAAATTGTTGTAGTTTGTTTATTTGTTTAAATTGCCCTATATATTGATAAAATTTGGTAAATTTATTTCATCCTATAGGCCCTACTATTGACGTATGGTCAAAAATCACTTTTTACCTTCCCCGTAGCAGCAAACCTAACCACTCATTAAATCTAATGTTACCTATTTAAATAGGGAGTAAATATGTCTTAATATGGAAATATTTTAGTACAAATGTAATCAGACAAGTTGAAATTCGCTTAGTCTGCAGGTTTGCTAGCCTTACCTAACCTAACCTTGGTTTAACCAAAAATCCGCCATTTTCGGCAATTTGCTAACTTAAGTAAGGGTTAGGCCGGTTTAAGTTAGGTTAAACTTAGGTTTAGATTAAGTTAGATCAAGTTAGGTTGGATTAGGGGCCTATATTTATTTTGGTTTACCCAAAAACGGGCATTATCGGAATTTAATAGTTTATTTATAATTTTTCAAAGCTGATTTTCAGGATAAAAACTGTACTTAATTGCCAAAAAAGTGTTTAAAATGTCCTAACTTAAATAACTTAATACGCAGAGGATAAGTTACGCGTCCGGTGACCGGATGTGGATTAGGTGTCCGGCAGTTACTGTCAAAACCTAGCCTAACCAACCAAACTTGCTGATAATGAAAAAATCGAATGAAGGTTAAATTCTGTTCATAAGTAAAATAAAATGATAAATGCCAAAAATTTAGGGACCTCTGGTGCTTATACTTTGAATTGAATTGAATATATTGTACTATTTTGTGTGTTTTCTCCAAATTTATATGGTGTGTCATCAAAAACCTTTTCTAAATATTGTATTTTTCATTATTTATTAGTCTGGTTTTGTTCTTGGTTAGCAAAACAGCATGATCAGACCATGGAAACAGGGGTCAATAGGGGGGAGGGGGGGGGGTTATGTGGTAAAATTGGATTTTCCCATTCTCGACCCTCAAAACAAAAAATTTCAAACCCAACTTCTCTTTAACTATTTTGAAGAGCTTAAAAATAAATAATATAATGTATTGAAGTATTTTTGTACAGTTATAAAATTGTTTAATAGAGGAAATAAAAATAAATTATAATTCCCATGTTATTTTTAGGCCTAAGTAATAAGTTATAAGTTATGGACACTAAGTAAACTGTTGTAGTTTGCTTGTTTATGGATACTAAACTTATATGTTTTTTATCAAATTTGGCAAACTTATTTATTTCACCTTAAACATTTAGCACACACAAATACGGACACAATTTATTAACATAAAAGAATGTGTGGCCAGTCATAACACACGTGGTGACAGACTCGATTCAACTAGCTGTGCATTTTATGTTAATAAATCGTATCCGTTTCCGTGTGTGCTAAATATTGAATTTTTGTGTACCTATTGACAACGATAATATGTCAATATGTTTTATGAAGCAGGGCATGGCTTGACAATGATAAATATTTTTTCTGAATTAGTCGCCTAGACTAAATTAGGATTGATGACGCAAGCACAGAAAACGTACTACTATAACCCAGAATGCCAACCGCATGGTAAAAAGCATTAAGCGGTTTGAGAGAGCTTTGCCTGTCAATCCGTAGGCAGCGCCACCAGCGTTGCCATGCAATAGCATAGGAACGCTGGTGGCGCTGCCTACCGATTGACAGGCAAAGCTCTCTCAAAACACTTAATGCTTTTTACCATGCGGTTGGCATTCTGGGTTATAGTAGTACGTTTTCTGTGACGCAAGGTATATAAACCTATTTTTATATTATTAATTAAATATTGATCACATACTTATCTTTTTCCAGACTAAAAATGTCTTCGTGGAAAAAAGCATCCAAGATCAATCAAAAAACTCACCGGGAACGACATCAGCCAGAAAGTAGAGCTCATTTGGGGTTGTTGGAAAAGAAGAAAGACTACAAGAAAAGAGCAGATGACTACAACAAAAAGCAAGCACTTCTCAAGAAGCTCAAAATTAAAGCCCAAAACAAAAGCCCTGATGAGTTTTATTTTCATATGATAAACTCCAAAGTTGTTGATGGCGTCCACAAAGAGAAACGTGAAGACAAGCACACTCCAGAACAAATTAAGTTGATGGAAAGCAAGGATTTGAATTACATAGGTTTCCGTAAAACAATCGAGGCTAAGAAAATTGATAAACTTCAATCTCAACTTCATTTAATCGATGAAGCGAACACTGTAAAAAATTCACACGTGTTCTTTGTTGATTCTGAAAATGAAGTGAAAGAGTTTGATTTGGCCAAAAGGCTTGATACACACCCGGATCTGATTCCCAGAAGAACGAATCGACTCACTACAGATGAGTTGCAACACTTGAGCTTACCATCCGTGAATGAACGAACAGCTCTTAAATTACAGCGAGAGAAAGAAAGAGCTTATAATCAACTTCACAAGCGAATCCGAAGGGAAAAGCAACTTACCATTGTGCAGAACAAACTTGAAACTCACAAAGCGTTGAAAGCTAAAGTTGGTGTAAAACCTGTGAAAGTAAAAAATGCGACAAAGGGAGCTGCTGCTGTTTATCAATGGCCTTATGTTAGGAAAAGATGATAATTTGTTAGTAAATGTACGACTACTCACCAAAAATCTTAGTTTTTATTACCCTCATTTCATTTTTGAATTAGCTCTGGGCGTTTTATCACAAAAAAAGTGTGGAAAATAAATTAGCCTCTATTATTAAAGTAAGAATCAGCAGCTGGCAGTTGTGTTTGTTCACAAGATGAAGATCTACGTTATTTGCTCGAATAAGTTAGTACTGGGTGTATAAGTAATTGAGTTTTATTAACCAAAACTGCTAATAGGTACCACTGCTAACAAAACTAGCTACCATTGGTAACTTTGTTTGGTAGACTATTGACAATAAGTAAAAATGTAGAAAGTTTTAAAATTATGAGAGCACTAAACTGTTGATTACACAACTAATCCTCTTCCAAGCTGTCTGTTGCAACAAAAAATGTATTAATCATTTTTTTATCAGTTAAAATTAACAGATGTTATGCAGGGCAACCCAATATTAACATGTCAGCCGACATGTTTGAAGCAAGCTCATTTTGTTGGAGTGACCAAAGACTCAAGGAAGCAAAAAATATAATTTCAGTTCAGTTTTGTTCTTTATTTAAGGATACAAGCTTTAAAGTTATGATTCATTTAACCATTAAATTTAAACAAACATTGGAAAGCCCATACAACAGTTTAGTTGCTTATTACTTTACTCAATATTAGCACCAGCATTGGCTATATGAATTCACAACAAGTTATTTCCTATGATTTTTAGTAAACTAATACAAAAATCTTACTTCCAGAAATAGGTACAAAAAGTAATACTAAAATCAGTTGTTAAAAAATGGAACTAAAACTAAACAACAATATCACATTCTTGAAAGCTATACTGTATACCATATAGGCTAGGCTAAATTATTGACTAGAAATGGATTCTAACATTAAAAAAAGTTATGGTTTATATAAAGCAAAGGAAACCTGGGTAATGGAATAATTAAATCAAGCAAATTAATTTGATAATCATGACGTTGAGAAAAAAAGTTAAATTACAATTCAAATTTTATATTGTTGTAGGTGGCTTAACGTGACTACAAGGAAATGGTTGTTAAAGTTATGAGATTAAGAATTCACATTGAGAGCTCTAAGTAAAACGTAAAACTCATTAATCCAAAAATTAACCTCAAAACTAATATACCACTGTATTGCAAAAAAAAAACTTTTCCCTAAATGGGAAATTTGCTAAAAATAATAATAATAATAACAGATAGGAGTTAACTGCTAAGTCATTTACTAATAATGTAACCAGAAAATAAATTGGTGTCAATAAGTAGGCTATAGGTTAGCGTTCTTAATTTAAACATCTTTGCTACCATGACTGATATTCAAATATATAATATGTTACGTACCTTGTACCGTCTTCAGTCTTAACTTAAATTAGTCTATGGATGACTAGTTTCGGGTACAAAGACCAGTTGAGTTCTGTCATGTCCGCTGTGTAACCTGCGTCGGTTTGTCCCGTATTCAATGTGGCCAGCCTATCGTATTAAATGTATTTGTAACTTTTGTTTTTTAAATGTTTAAATTTTATGTGTCGTCGACCTGCATGTATATACATTGATGAAGACTTACGTCGGATATTTGACCATATTCAATATGATGTTTTAAATAAGGATTTGACAATGGGTCTTTGTACCCGAAACTAGTCATCCAGCATTGACTAAGTTAAGACTGAAGACGGAACAAGGTACGTAACATATTATAGCGTTCTTAAGACACAATTCAATGAAGTTCAAACTGAAGTTTTAGTAAATATTGTTGTAAACTACACTGTATTGTACTCACAGAAAGACTTAATATATTTTAATGGCCTTAAACATTTTTAATTACCAATATTCACGAGGCTACAATAATTAGCTGAACTGCTCAATATTAAACAACTACAAAGGCCTTCTGAACACATCAGTTAGTTATTTGTAATATTATTTTCTTATTTCAGCTCAAACTCATTCTAAAAGCCAGACCTTTTTGCATTAGCTTCATACAAGTGAAATTGCATTCATTACCAAGTAAAGAAATTACCAACAAAATTAAAAACTATTTAATGCTAAGTTACTAAAGATTAATTTATGGATAAATTAGGTGTAATTTTGAAATTTCTTAAGATTGTATTCTCACGTTAGAGTCAATTCATACCATGTAATGCAATGCCTCACAATTCATTTGTGCAAAGTCAAATATTTTTGGACGTTTGTTTGAAGTTCAAATCAAACAAATTCCAATAGTTGTGCTAAGAAATTAATGAATGCGTAGGCTACACAATTAATTGTCAAATGGCATGGCATCAATGGAAAATATCTTGTAGGATGTATATGCTGTATCATCGTTAAAGGGTCGGTCGAACATTGACCATCCAAAATCGATGTGTTGACACTTAGCGTTACACTGTTCATATAGGATAAATTGGTTATAGTAAGTAATAGACGACAATATGTTTTGAAAGCCTTTGAGGGACAAGAAATATCATCAACGATATAACTGATCCCTCAAATAAATTAGTGTAAAGATTGTGTAAATTACTGTAGTGTTGTGGGATTTTTATAATGAAATCGTTAGTTCTATAAAGTAAGTAAATAATTAAACTGATATAACTATTTTTAATACAGCTTTCCCACCCTCTGTAATCTGAACATTGGCATAAAGGATGAAACACATCACATTTTAACAACAAAGAGTTTTATAAAGAAGTTTTACTGTTTGATGGATTTTAGTTTTGATATTTACTTTGTTTACCATTAAGAGGGTTCTACCCGGTCAATTCAAGACGGCAACTAAACATGCTAATGTTCCTGAATATGTCTCTTTCAGTACAAGCTCTCAACATTCTAAAAATTTGTTTCCAATGATTGTGTGCTTGTTGTGCTCTTAACATATCAGAGCTTGCAGTGGGTAGAGCAAAATTTTTACTATTATTTAGAAGTTAAAACCACATGTGAAAAATACTTATTTACAGATTTTCAATATGATTTTGTAAATACCTAAAGAAACAATAACGAAGTTTCAGTCAGCCAGTGCATCTTTTGGATCATTGTGAATACTTTACAGTTTATTTCAACTCGATAAACACTTTAATATTGCAAGGAGGTTCTTTTTCGTAGGACCATGTTTACGTGGTAAACAGCTGGCGGGTGGAACCCTCTTAAAGCATAAGCCATTCAATATGTTATGTCATGCTTCAAATTAATTTATGTTTAAATGTATACAAAATTTCAAAACTCACTAAAAAAAGTTACAAGAATTATCCCACAACACAAGTACTTATGGCACTATGAGCTTTTTGCTTGAATGTTATTAATTTTCATTTTGAACTCACAATTGTAACATCGCACAATTGAAAGCATTAGTTTGCCTAGACATCAACCGGTTTGCCTACTACCATAGGAGGGGGGGAGCGAGCTGGCCAAATGGTTAGAGCAAGTGGGTTCAAATCTTGCCAATCGCCAATGGATTTGATCTAAGTGATAATGCCGTAACCCCTAGGTCTAGCCTGAAGTAATGTGAAAAACAATTCCAGGCTCGTGCCTATCGACCTAGGAAAAAAAACTACCTCAGGAGGGATCGGTTTTGCCAACATCATGAACACTTGTTCTATTTAGTGTTTTTTTCCAAGAAAAGGCTCTGGGCCAGGATTTTGAATTGTGAATAAGGAGGATAGAATCTTTGAAAAGTGCAGGTAGGCCATAGAACATTCAGAAGAGAAACTGAACATTAATAATTTGTTCTTGAAACTGGGAATACCACATAAATTCTGAACATACAATATTTTGTCGCCTGGGGGACTTTGTCGAGTGTAGAGAATGTGAATGTTTCTTTACATTTGAAAGTCCCCCATGGGTAAGCTAGCTGCTATCCTAACTTGTTCTATTTTGTTTGAAAATCAACTGGTTCGATAACTATTGTCGGAGTAACCTGTTTTGCAAACAACATAAATACTTGTTTTGTTCAAACATCAACTGGTTCAATAACTATCGTTGGAGGAACCTGTTTTGCAAATGACATAAAGACTTGTTCAAGGGTGGTGTCTCCGACTGTGTAGTCTTCTACAATGGAATGTTGACTGCGGAGATCTTCTAATTTAGAGAACAACACTGATAGTAGCATTGAGTTGTCTGCTATATGGTAGTGGAGAAGACCCTGTAACAAAAAAATGAGGTTTACTGGTTTCTTCTTTTTAAATAAGAGCACGGTATAGCATTTTTGAGTCTTTTAAATGAATTGAATGAAATTATAGGCATTGATACCTGAACATAAAAAAAGAAACTATAGAGGTTACTTTTCTTGATTTCTATCATACTGCGAGAAACAAAGTTTTTGAAGACAGATCTTTGTGGACAAATTTGAAACAACATAAATCCAAACTAACCTTGTGTTCATCCTTTATAAAACACCTGGAGAACGTTCTGTTAACAGCGTTCTTGAATGCAAACAATGCATCATCTGCGTCAGGGTTGTTTGTGAAAAGTTTGATCATGATGGTGTAGCCTTGTCCGTACCTCTGTTTGAGATATTGAGTGCTACCGATACACTTCATGTGGCCTCCGACCAGAATTGTTAGACGTGAACACAGTGCTTCACACTCCTCCATGCTGCAACAATCGAACCAAAAAACGATAAAATAACACAATTACTTAACTTGTGAAAACTTGTGTAGACCATATAAAAAATCATATTATTATAACTTTTTGTAGTCAAAAAGAGTAGTTTTGTGATGTCCTAATCAGCTGTCTGGACTGATGGTTCGCTGTACTGGTCGTTGTCTTTTGCACAACAGCTCAGATAAATTTCACATCCGTTTGGATGCTGCCTTTAATTTCCGCCTTTATCACTTGGATGTCCAACATAAAAACACTAGTTCAGCAGCACTGCCCAAAATACACAAATTATTGTTTGTTTTTATGCCTGTGATTGGTGATACTGAGTAAAAAACTTTGAAACTAAGATCACTCCGAGCTGGTGGGGAGAAGCTACCACATTGGGTTCTGGGCTGATACACAGAGAATTAGAGGAAGATGTAGCATTGACCACGTAAGCTACAGCAGACAGCCAAGGATTGAAATGATTTTGGGGGTTCTTTTAAATCGATGTTGTAAGGTGCCAAATTTTAAGGGGGGTAAAAACGTACTACGAATAAATGAACACCAGAACTTACCCGATTTTTAACCACAATAGCCTATTCCTAGGCCTATGTGTTGGCCATAGCTTGGGCTATGGGCCAAAGAACGTAGGCCTATTTTTATTCACAGTGAAGTACACAAACACATCCACAACTACATATTCATTCATAATAGCACTTCGTTTCACATAATAAAGTTAAATCGGCCGATTTTACAGACATTTAACGCCGCCGACGACATAACCCCAAACTGGTGTTTATTTGTTGACAGACGACAGACGAAACTAGACCAGCTCAACAAGTGAATTTGATCAGCTGTTGACTAGGAGTACTTGAGTTCGCCGCTTGAGCGCGTACGCCTCGAGCAGGCAGGAACGAAGGATTTTGCTCCAAGACAGGATTATTCGTTCACACGCCGTCTACGAAGTAACATCATCGTTACAAGACTACTTACGCATTCCCGCCGATCGGCGATATTACGAAGGTTAGCTATTCTAATAGTTAGACCATTTCTACGTTTTACTTTATTTTCGTTTAACGCACGCATTCTCGTTTTACGACTATTTTCGTTTCAGAACTCGATTTTAAATATCTAAATTTAATAACTTAAATTTCGCCAACTTGAGTCATGACCCGCCAGTTCCTGCCTGCCAGTGACTAGCGTTGGATATCTTTCGGTTCGTTTAAATTAATTTGCTACGAAATTACGTTTATTCTGTTCGTTTCACGATTAATTATTACTTAAGTTACTCCAGTTAATTCGACGTTTTAATACCCCGAGACTTGTCGTCTGAGTTCTAAGCCCCGTCTTTGGCGGGTGAAAGAATCAAGTCTTGGGAGCTGTCTGAGTTGAATAATCAGCTACGAAAATTAATATTAAATTTATTTTAAACCTCTCTTGTTAAATTATCCGTTCAGTCATATTAATTAGGCCCTGACGACTCTGTAGGAATTGTTTTTACCTTTTATTCGATATTATATAAATTATCAACGTCTTTAACTAATTAGTTGCAGTTTAATAGGAGTATTTGCATCACATTGGCTAAGATTGAATGCTCGTCGGCCCTACAGAGTCATTCCAAAGGTTAGGCAAAATTTAACAAAACACTTTAACGAAGGTAAGGATGATATATAGCTCCAACTGAGCGTCTGCAGGATTTCCTGAACGTTTCCTGAGCTCTGAGCCTTCGATTAAATTTTAATAAATTTATCAGTCAAAGCCGTGACAACTTCGTATTGACCCCTGGATTTTTCTCGGCTCCTTCTGAGCACTCCGGGGAAGAAATTTGAGTGTGGCCGGTTCTAGGGTAGGCCTAGCCTGACTTTGGTGAATACTAGTTTATTCCCCCCCTAGAATTTTGCGTCACAATGTGGATCAGTACTTTCTGTCTGAGTGCAAGAGGTTAAGTTCTGTGTTTCAATGTCAGTATACGTATGAAATAACTTATCAAGTGAATAAAAGTACTATCAGTAGGAATGAAAATTTTGTCGTTTAGTAGGAGAGGTATACGCTTAAACTGTGTCATTCCAAAACAATTTGATGGGTTCAGGCCATTTTCCTTTAAAAGCATTTAATATTTTATTTCTAAAACCTAATCCCAAAAAGTGTGTTTTCTACCTGTGAGATGTAAGCACGATGGCCTGTCCAGTCTTCTGACACCTAGCAAGCACGTCCCAAAGGCGTCGTCTGCTCACCGGGTCCACACCAGCTGTGGGCTCATCCAGGAACACCACAGCTGGATCTCCTATCAGAGCCATGGCTGTGCTCAACTTGCGTTTGTTGCCTCCGCTGTATGTACCACAGGGCGCTCTTGCGTACTCGTCTATACCTGGGATATGCAAAATTGAATTATTGTATTGATTTAAAGGTAAAAGACCATGTTGTGATGTTTTAAGTTTAAAAAGAGAGTAGACATTACTTGAAAGCTATGTTACTGACAAACCCTAGCTGATTACTCGAACGCTTGAGTGATCGGATCATTTTTACAGTAAAAAGTGCTTCAAACATTTCTCAGGATCTAATCGGCAATTTTCAGGTTACGAGGCGTATTCTTAGGTACTAAGCTACACACATACATAAACTTTGACCCAGAGAAAAGTCAAAATATTTTTAATGAATCAAAACTGGACCCTGATCTATGCTTTTAGTTAATGATCCGGACTAAAGAACCAGCTTATCTTAGTCTGCAACAAAGCTGTCATCTCGTTGTTTCTCAATCACTCATCTACGTCTTAAAATAAGCAGCCTGGTATGTCGGCAGCGTACAAATTCTAATAACAGTTTTTTGTACACTTGAGAGAGAAAAAATAGTAAAGAGTTAATAACTTACAATAGGATATTTGTTTGGATACTTATTTCTCATTATTGTGATTTGTTAACAAACCTCAGGGAAGTAATAAACATATGCATGCACGAGAAAAACCTTATTCTTTGTCTTTGAATTATAACAGATCCAGCTCTCAGTCATCATTCACTGTCTACTACAATTTATCAGTTGTAAGAATCATTCAAACAGCTTACCCATAAATCGGACCCAAGTTTCAACTTTAGACTTGATATCATCACTAGGAGTTCCCCGTAACGCAGCGTAAAGCTGCAGCATTTCTTCTCCGGTCAAATCTTCAATGATGGCATCAAATTGGGGACAGTATCCAATCTCAGCCAAGAACTGAGAAAAAAATGAATTGAATTTAGCAGGAAAAACCTAGAAGGGTTGGTGTGAAACCTTAAGCAAATATAGTCGTAATATGTTAGAGCTGGTAAAAGATTTAAACTTTTCTGTTATATTACATTGGAGAGAAAATACTGTGTGACTGTTTCTGAAATTTGTAAAGGTTGTAGGCCTAGTTTAAATTTTATTCTGAATTTACAGATTGGAGATTTTTCAAGGCAAGAGTCTAAAACCTCTTGTTACAAAAACAAATTTTGAAAATTTTTGAATAAAATATATTTAAATCACAACTAGATTTATTTTTCAATGTTAAAGGGTCTATATTCTATTTCAAACCTCTTGTCTTGGACTTAAACTTAAAACCATCAAAAACTCCTAAATAACTTCTTAATTCATATTTCACAAGTTAGTGCTTTCATACGGACATAATAAAAAAATGTCTTCCAACACTTTACAAATGTCTGAGACTTGAAACTGCAAAGACAAGTAAATAGGCCTACAAATTAAATATGTTACAACAGTAATTTTTACCAGCCTCCGGTCTGACCTGATGATGATTAACATGTGACTAGACTAAACCACTCATCAAAAAATCTCATACTTGTTTTCTAACCATTCACCTGAGTCTTTTGCCGAATAAGATCAAAATTGAGTACAGACGCTGTTCCCGAAGTAGGTGTTTCTTCACCAGTCAACATTTTGAAAGTGGTTGTTTTCCCAGCACCGTTGACCCCCAGGAGACCAAAACATTGACCTTTCTCCACCAGAAAGCTGACTTCATGGACTGCTGCGATGTTTCTGTTGTATTTCTTACCCAGCCCGCACACTCTCAACACTGGTACGCTCTGGGCTGTTAGGTAAATTGTAATCACAGTTTAGGATATACAATATGCAAAACTTTATTTACAATAAACTAACAAATTAAAGGTGATCATTGCTTAGTGTAAATATTCTGTTGTTAAATTTGAAATCTGTTTTTATGTACAGTATTTCATGTTTTAAAGAATTAGATTGATGCTGATGTTGACTATATTGTTCTTTAAAATGATGTAGAAAAGTAGCCTCTTTATGATAGTCTTTTAAATAAATTATCATCAAGCAACAATTTTTGGCACAGAGTTGAAATCAAAAACACAGTACTCAACAGCAGAACCCCTCCATATCCGGCCACTTCTTGGAAGCCAATAGTGAAAATTGAAAAATATTCAGCTTGCAGATGAAAAGTTGCACACACTAGTCTCAACCAATCAAGCACTCTCACAGATGATTGTTTTTGTAATAGGTTGGTTTACCCGTCCAGGGCCGTCCGAAGGGGGGGGGGGCAACCGGGGCAAGCTGCCCCGGGCGCCGTGGCTGAGGGGGTGCCGCCCAGCGGCTATTTGTATTAATTAACATAGTATTAAAATATGCGAATGTGACTATTATTACTGGGAGGGGAGGGGGCGCCACAACCACGTTTGCTCCGGGTGCCGCCAACCCTAGGGACGTCCCTGTATCCGTCCTGGGACTTGGTCACATGGTGGCCGCATATGAGAGGTTCTACTTATTCTTTCTTCATAATATATATCTGTACCTCTTGCTTCATATTGAGTACAATAGCCTCAAAGATGCAGTTAAAATATTTAAGTTTGCAACTGTAGAGTCAAGCAATATTAGACTCAATGTCAGTGATAGCATAAAATCCACAGATAAAAAGAACATGTATTGAAAGTTTATAACTAATCAATATTCTAAATGGAAGGTATGGGGTTTAGTGAGTGGGAGAAAATTTCGCGCCGTTCCGGCCAAACCTCGCATGCGGGGTTGGTTCGGCAGATTGGCCACAACCTAAACCCCAACTCTCACTTGTTAGCTGCGGAGAGCTACCTTCTGCCACTGGGTGTTGGTCCACCTACAGAACCAAGTGAGGGGGGCCCTAGACTAAGGTGTAATGCGATCCGTGCCAAGAGTCTTGTGGCACTGGGGGCCTAATATTCAGTGTCTTAACGGAGCCTTCTGGGAACCAGGGGTAACCCAGTCGTACACACCCCTTACCTCTGTAATCGGGTCACTGGGGAGGTGGACTTAAATACCTGGTATTCGTGAGAACAATGTAGACAGTCTGACCCAAATGGAGGAGGAAGGTCTACTGAAATCTGACGATGACGACAAGCTCGCAGAAACCGGAAAGGAACGAAAAACGACTTTCCAGGGGCGAGTTGCAAAGGTGGAGGATAGCGGATGCTTTAACCAAAGGCGAAAAGGTGCTATCCAGAAGTGAGAGGAGGCTGGTGTGGGCTGCCAAGCACCCTAACTCTGCTGCCTGCAAAGCCAGTTCCTCCGGGAACTAGGATGCTGGGAAAAAGCAGAGCAAGGGTGGTACCCCCAAAGCTGACTCTAATGAAGCCTCCAGGAAGAAAGGTGGAGGCTGTGCTGACGCAGCCACAAAGGATTGGCTGGTCAAGCAAGTTCAGGAGCTGAGACCTTTCAGGGAAATCTCGCTACGGCTTGCCCCAGCCAGAGACCTTGTGAAAGCTGTGAAGGTATATTTATGTGCCCAGCCCTACAAGGTCTGCGTATGAGATCCCTCGTACGAAAAACGACTTTCCAGGGGTGAGTTGCAAAGACGGAGGATAGCGGATGCTTTAGCCAAAGGCGAAAAGGTGCTATCCAGAAGTGAGAGGAGGCTGGTGTGGGCTGCCAAGCACCCTAACTCTGCTGCCTGTAAGCCAGTTCCTCCAGGAACTAGGATGCTGGGAAAAAGCAGGGCAAGGGTGGTACCCCCAAAGCTGACTCTAATGAAGCCTCCAGGAAGAAAGGTGGAGGCTGTGCTGACGCAGCCACAAAGGATTGGCTGGTCAAGCAAGTTCAGGAGCTGAGTCCTTTCAGGGAAATCTCGCTACAGCTTGCCCCAGCCAGAGACCTTGTGAAAGCTGTGAAGGTATATGTGCCCAGCCCTACAAGGTCTGCGTATGAGATCCCTTGGCCTATTGATGGGAGATCAAAGGGAAGAACAGGTCACCATAGTCAAGAGGCTCTCACGGTTCACCAAGGACCTGGGATTTGACGGAGAATGAGGACCTGTGAACGAGGGTGCACAATAAGCTGTTCTAGCTGCGATGCAATCCCATGGTAACTTGTAAGCCTGGCCCTCTATAAAAAAAAAAAAAAAAAAAAATATTCTAAATAATTAATCTAAACCTTACCTCAAGTTATTTGGGTGTACTCACAATTGCCATGAAGAAATGATTTTGCTTTCTGCTTTTCCTCCACAACGTCATCATCATCAATGACAGTGAACTTAAACATCGGTCCAATCCACAGATTCTTGATCATGGAAAACAGTTTCATCAAAGGTCCGAACTCAATGAGGAATATCAGTAACCAGTAGAAGAACCATTCCACCGAGAGAAAAACAACGTATTGCAAAATGCTGAAGAAATTTTCAGACTGTTCCTCAAATATATCTTCAGCTGAAATACAAAGTAACATAAATGTTGAACATAACATGACGCAATTGAGTACAGTAATACAAATGTCTGCAAACCTGCTAAATAAGTGAATTTCCATTTGCCTGATTGGATTTTAACTCAAATATTCCCTTAAAAATGTCAGACTTATTCCCTATTCAAATAACATTAGGTTAAATGACTATGTAGGTACACCACAATCATGTCCATATTGCTTTCATTACTTAATTATTAAATGCATTCTTAACTGTATTATTTTTATCTTCAGTTATTTTATAATGTTTAGCAAATTCACTACCGAGTGTCAGTAGACTACACAAACAGAGGAATATGACGGCTGAACCTGTTAAGTTATCTGCTGTAGCTCCCTTGTTAGTTTTTTTTAGATTAATTTCCCCATAAAAAAACATTTGTTAAGGATTTAGTCCTTTTGACTCTAAACAAGGAGGTATAACCCCCATTGCTGTGAAAATTAAGTTTAGAAAGTTATTACAACTCTTGTGAACTTTCCCATACAAATTAAATAACGGAAAATCAGTAAAAAAAAAACTACAAATTTAGAATAAAATTGTCTATTTTATTTTATAGTCCTTTTAACTCTAAACGAATTGAAACAACCCCTTTTGCTCTAAAACCCTAGAAAACTATTAGAAAACTGTAGAATTTTATACAGCCCAGAAATATGTCCTCAATCCTTACAAAACTGCATGCATATGAGTGTCTATTGACCCCTTAAACAATACTAGTTTGTCTTGCGGACCAGATCATTATTATTAGCAATCTTTAATTGCAACTCTAATTTCACTGGGTCTAAGTGCCAAAGCTAAGTGTATCTTACTCTCCACCAGGTTTTATTAGTCAAAATATTACATGGACAAAAACAAAGTTCAAATAGTTTTTTTTTTTACCAGAGATGAAGACATACTTACAATCACAATAGTCGGAGCATCTTTTGCAACTACTCTCTACGAGCATTGTCTTCACTAAACACAACATGGCAGCGCACAGAGCATAAAGAGGATTTAGACACAGTAGGTTGTTGATCAGGTCAAACGTGAGGCTTGGCGTTTGCTTGCGATATTGATAGTCTTTCCCCACTGCCAACATTACGAGGGGAGCAATAACACCTGGAAAACGTTTGGATGTTTAGTTGTCAGAATGAAAGGAAAAATGTTAAAGTTGTCTATGACGTAGTATTTAAGCTTACAAACTTAACTGTAGTATTGATGTCACAGATTCTGGTCTTGGTAAATATATAACTTTCCTAACTCTCAAGTCTCTAGCAATATGCTTTAGACTCATCCTAAAAGTAACTGATGTTGTCAGAAATTATGAAAGGAAACATATAAAAGTTGCCTTTTTGTATAATATCAGTTTCAAAACATTGGGGACTATGAAATGTGGTGTGTAGTTATGTTACAACATTTTTTCAGCTCTATAATAGTTACTTTCTTTGCCTGGATTGATAAATTTAGGGGAGGTGTAATCTCATGGTTTTGCCTCCAGCCCTAGTAGCACAAATATGTATTTTATAAATATTTTATATATTTAAAGTTGTATTTGATAGAACCTCGAATAAAATATATAAATAATATATCTTTAATAATAGTTTGATATATTCAAATATATATTTAATATATTACCAAAAAGCAATGCAAAATATAAATTAAATATAAGTTTTGAATATATAAAATAGATTCAAAATATATATTGATCAAATAAGTATAGAATCTATAATATACATATTTTATATGTATATTTTTCCTATTAAATATTTAAAAAAATTATGTGTTGAGAATATTTTAAATATATATATAACATATTTTTGAAACTATATTATATATTTAAAGTATTTATAAATATAATTTGAAACACGTCAGATATTTTTATTAATAAAATAATAATTTGTAGAATATATATAATCTATTATAATTGGCAAATAAATAATTTGCATCTTTTTGTTTTTTATAGTGTCTATCAATTTATACATGCATTTTTTGTATGATAATTGCTATTGTGAAAGTGTTAAAATTAAGTTAATAATAATACGTACTCTGAATGGTGTCACTCTATCATGCAGGTAAAGAAAAAATTGCGCATATAGTTAAGTGGCAGTATACATGTTCGACAGCCTACATTTGGGTCAAACGAAAAAAAAGTGTTGATGGGTTTTATTTTTTAAACTAGCTAGTGTGCCCGTTCTACGCACGGGGATCTTATAGTAGTCAGTTGAAACCTTCTTATATTAAGATTAAGAGCAGCAATTAGTTTGCATATTTGCAGATATGCTGGCAAAACTATTATATATAAACCTTCGCAAATACAGTATCTGACAGTTCAAGCCAAAATAAATGCTTCGCAATTAAATGTCGCCCGGATCGTTTTGGTCCATATGTCCAATGATTAAACTTAAAAATGTTTTATAGATCCATGAAGCGTAGCCCTAAAGTAGGCCTATAATTGAAAGTTACTTTCCACATCGGTTAACTTAAACGTATTTAAAGTACTACCTCAACCTCACCATTTAACACTTTATTCCGGTTGACATTTTCAGTATCAAAGGTGCTCTTGTTCATTCCGTGAAACACTGAGAAATAAGGACATTAATGCGTTACCAACATACAACAAAACAACACAATACAACAATCCAACAAAGGCCACGAACTATGATACATAAACAATATAAAGGCGTAAACAATTCATGATGGTTTGCCCAACAAATGTTTTACTCAAATAGGTTATCATTTTCTTAGCATACCGGGTAAGCTAAGATTTGGAATCCAGGCAGAAAAAGCAAAACTTATACAGAGTTAAGACATCACTTAAATTGAATACGGACGGCTCTAATAAATAAGGTGCAACACCAACGATATCTAATTTGTAAACTACCGGTTCTAAGGAAAAGAACCGGTACCTACGTAAGAACCTACCTAAGAATTACAGTAAATCGGACCAATTAAATACATTAATATCTAGCTTCGAGGTTATTGATCTCTTGCTTTTGGATTTTCTCGTAAAAAGTTATAGCGTAAACTTATCAGTGTCAGTTTGAAAAAAAAGCAACCTTACCCAAACAACTTTTTGTTATTTAAGAGATTACGCATTCTCTAAACAATGATTAGTATATCTATTAACATTAGAAGGAAATGTGACGAAAATCACACAATGTTGGGGTTTTGGTCATTTGTAATTTTATTTTTTAAGTAGGTAGGCCATGTATTCTATGGAAAAGTACCGGTATCAAGGATCGTCGTCAAAAAGGTTGTTATGAATAAATATGTAGGCTTACGTACCCAAGATATGAGCTATGGGCCTATTGGCTGTATGGTCCAGCGATTGCATCACACGGTGAGTAGAAACAGAAAGTGACACATTGGAAAAGCGAGTTTAGCACTTCCTCTGTTAAACCTCTGTTACAATCACCCACTGCAGTTGTGATTTTTTACTTTACACTTTACACAATCGCCATTGAAGCGCCGTCAATGAGTGGAAACCTTTTTTGTAAGCTATTGGCGACGATCATTTCAGTGTCACAGCCCTATACAACACTGATTCAAGGTCTTCTTCTTTCTGGTTGTCAAAACTCAAGAAACATTTTATACTCAAAGAATTTCTGGTTCCGATTTGGACGATGTCTAGTTATTTAATTTCATTTACGGTTACACTATTAGACTATATTATTGCACTTGCGATTAATTAAATCCGTTATGTAAGAAAAACGTTTTTAATCTCACTTGGTTGGGATTTGCTTTCAAAACGTGATTCGAAATAGTTGCGGTATTTGTAAACAGCATTTGTAAACATGTCATTGACAGCTAGAAAAAATAATCTTGATCCGAACAGCTGTTCGTTATTTCATAGACGATTCTGTGATAAAAATTGAACGAAAATGTGACAAAAGTCGCACAAAACTGCATTTTTGAACGTCCATAATTTTATTTACAAAGTAGTGAGGCTATATTTAAATCACTAAAGACACTCTCGCCAATCCAGTGAATACATTAAAATGGCTTGGATCTTGATATGTACTCTGGTTTTCACGGAGAAGATTGCGTAAAATGCCATCTTGAGTGTTACAGACAAAGGGACAGACAGACAGACAGAAATTGAGATAAGACTCGTTTCTGCTTCTTTAATGTATAAAACGTAAAAATAACCTAAAAGTATATAATTCTGAGCAATGTACAGACAAAACTCTAATTTTATTTATATAGATAGATTGCAATATGTGACAATGAATGTGATCATAGAAATCTCAAATGATTGGCTAGAAAAGGGGGCTAGTGACTGGCGACCTTTTAAGAAACGAATTACGGAAAAACAGAATCATATTATACTGTAGTATCAAAAAATGTTCAAGTATTGCAACCATTGCAACTGACGGCCACTCCTTCACCATTTGAAAACTAATGCCAACAACAGTCACAAGTAGCTCAGAGGTAAGGTAAGAGGCTCATAAGTCGAAGGACCCAGGTTCGAGACCCACCCGGGCTAAAAAAAATTTATCCAGTAATTTTTTAAAAATTTGTTTTTATGAACTATTTAATCAACTTACTCAACTGATAATTGTGCTTTTCATACTAAATCTTCATTATTTTATGTTTTTATGTTTAGACCCCATGGGATGTTTGGAAGAGATATTAAATAAATTTTTTATTAAAATATTATTCACTAAAATATATTATTGGAAAATATTTTTCTAATATTTAATAAATTCAAAAACATATTTTTTATATATTTAATATATTTTAAATCTAATATATAAAATTCTCGTGTCACAGTGTTTGTCTGCAAACTCCTCCGGAACGACTTCACCGATCGTTATGAAATTTGGTGTGTAAATTCTGTAGGTATGCGAATCGGACGTAAACTATTTCCCGTTTCGAAATTCTTAAAAGGGCTCCGCCCCAGTCGCTCTGGAGTTTCCCATGTTAACCTTATGAGAAATGGAATTAATGAATCTTAACAGCTGTTTCAATTAAACAAGTTGGTTCTGTTCTATGATGTTCAATAGCATTAAAGTTACAAGGATTACCAACAGGGTGCAGCACTATTATTTCTTTTACATTTATGACAACAGCTAATTTGCAACCAAAAGGTGAGTGAGCGTAGCGAACGAACTTCAACCAGGACGTGATTGAGCGATGCGAACAAGATCATCTTGAAAATTAAACGTAACGGTACTTTCTTTCCATCGGTCTGTCTTAGGGGAAACCTATAATTTAGGCGATACGAAGTTCGCCGGGTCAGCTAGTATTATATAAAATTGACATTAATACACACTTGAGATATATAAAATAGAATTTAAATATATTTATTCATATGTATTTAATATATATTTGTGCTACTAGGGAGGGTCTGACAATTTGATAGGGGTGATTTTATAATCCATACTATTTTCATTGTGAATTTAAAGATCAACAGAATTAATTAGTCGTTTTATTCCTTACTCTATCCTTTGGCTGGTTGGTGTATCAGTAGGAAATATTAAAAGCAATTGGATGCACATATTACCAATGACAGGTTTATTTTATTTGTAGTTTAAAAAAGTGGGGTAGAGAGGGGTTGATAGAGACAGCTATGGACGAGGGTAGAAATAACCAGACTAAGATGGTTTAGCATGTGAGAAAACATGAAAAAGAAGTACTCCTTAGAAAATGGAGTAATGGTGTGAAGAAGACTAAGAAGGCTTAGAAGAAGATGGATAGATGAAGATGAGATGAGTGAGATAGCAAATGGAGAGGTCTAGTCGATATCCATACCTAGGAATAACCAGAACGGAAGAGGAGATGTGTGAAGTACAATTTTAAAAGTTGAAATACTGTGTCAGTATGAGCTTGGTTAAATATATGTTTACAGCTTATTAGTTAGAAAAACTGTATTGTATATTTTCTAATTTTAATTTGAACTTTTTACAATATTAATAATATATAGAACACAAGTGACTACATTTTTACCATTGTTTGTGAGGATAGCGAATAGGAAAGAGTCCAATTTGGCACAAGAAACTCATACAGTACTTTACACTACAGTTTTGTGCCTAGTGTAAAGTATGTGTTTCTTTTGGATTATGTAATGTTGAGCCGGATTGGACTCTTATCCATTCAGATAAGCATTTTCACTGATGTTTATTCATTAATCTTCATAAAAGCTACTATATTAATTAAAGTTTATTTTTAAGGGCAATATATACCTGTTGCAAGGTTAAACATCAAAAATAAAGATATGGCTTTTGCTGATGACTTTGTCAGGAAAGTGACTAAATATGCAAATGGAGCCCCACTTATTCCATAGAGAAGTATCAAAAAGAAGAGCAAATCTGAAAGAAACAAAAGCGGTTAATTTACAGTTCAAAAGATATCAACACAGTTAGTTGGCAGGTGATTAATTGTATCTTAAGCTTTACGCAAACTTAACAACAAGCCTTTTCCAGTACCGTAACCAGTAACCACTCCTTAAAATTTCTTTGGATTTTGAAAAATGGTTCATATAATCGATAGTGGCTCATTAAATATTTTAGGAACCTTTTATTGAGGAGAAAAGTTCAACAGTGTTAGTCTATGCTTTGCGGGTTCCAATACATTTTAGCAAATTTCCCTATAGGGAAGTAGCTATTACCGTATGTGGCACGGCAGGAACTAGACCCGGGACCGATATACTTTTTCATTTTGATGTCCCTAGAGACCAAAAACTATTCATTCAAATTTTTATAGTACCGGTATAGAACAAAGTTTTATAGCTCTGCTAGTTGAGCCCTATGCAATCTGTCCATGTGTCATAGATTGTGATTTCGGTTTTCAAGATTTTTTGCTCCTGTAACTACGCAAATAAAAAAGGTGGCTGAAGCTAAATATTTTTAGATATGGATTCTATTTGAAATATGCAATATAATTGAGAATTTCAATATCCAGATTATCGACTGAATTTTGAGGGTTAGAATTTTGTTTGAATTTATTGAGAATTTTCCCTAATTCAAATAAAAGACAAAATAATTCAATCATTGTATTTTTGACAGATTCATAGATAAGCCACTTGCTGCAATCTAGTCTGTAAGATTATTCAACTCTTCAGACAGTAAGGGAAAAGTCTAGCAAACTATCATTTGGATGAAAGTTGCTCACGCATTTTTCCAGACATTGTAATCGTCTTGTCAACATCTAGCAGCCAAATTGCTCCAATCATTAGTGATGTTGCGGTGAAGTAGATGATGAAATCCCATAGAAAGTGACTGAGCCAATAGATGAATGGGGAGACACCAGTCATTAACTGTAGCGGCTTGGCTCCATTAGCGCGTTCGATCAATGGCAGAGAGATAAACCTGGAAACATAGTAAAAATATGCATTATAAAATCTATGGAGTTAAAGGGCAAGTTAGTACACAAGGGGATTATATTTTAAGTGTTTATGTTTACCTGGCAACTATAATCATGAGCCCACAAACCAGTAACACCCATGGCAGAGCTTTGACGACTGCCACTGCTTCACTCATCAACTCATGGTTGTCACACAGATTTTCCTGTCAAACAAAAAAAGTGTTAAAGTTATCAGTTATTTCAAAATACTAGATACTTAAACTGTACATAAAATAGTCTATTTTCATTTGACAAAATTCCATTGATTTTCAGCTTGAATGAATCACAATGTGTGAGGGAAGTCCATCGATTAAGGTCTCCATCAAGCTCCCATCGAGGCTAAACATCTGAAACCAATGTTGTGTTCTTGACTTGATCCACTACTAATCCAGCCAGTTTTCAGCCCTTTGGAAATCAAGCCGGTCTAGTGGTATAGCACTGGATTACCGTCCCCAAGTTCCCGGGTTCAAATAATACCAACTACCAGTGTCCTTTATCAAAGAGATAATGCCGCTACCTCTAGACCTTGCTTGAAGCTATGTGAAAAACGATCGAGGACTAGAGCTTAGCGTTCTGATGTGAAAGGTGGGACGTTAAACAAAACCTTAGCAGCCATCAGTCTCTTCAAAAATGATATGAAGAAAAATCTATCCTCCAGCCAATAGCCATGTATGAATCTTGTTTTGTGAGTAGATTTTTGTGGTCTAAGACGTCAAATGCTAATGAAGTCTAGTTGACAAAAAATGAATGGAGTAAAGTGTTTCCATCACTATGTTATGAATCAAAGGGAGATACAAATTATATGGAAACGTTTATCTTCCCAACTGTGATATATTATTTAAATATTCTTGTATATTCATCCTGTACGGTATATACATTATTTCAATTTGTAATGCATGAATTGTAATGACAAGTCACACATTAATTGCTGATCTTTAGTCACTGAATAACGAATTTCGGAGATAAAATTTATTGTAGTTTTACTCCGGTTTGGAGTTCTATTGTACCTTAATGCCATGGAAGGGGTGGCTTATCACAGTGACCGAGCTGGTTGGACTGTAAGACTTGAGTATGGAGTTTGTGATGAGATTGAGTGCCACAGGAGCTGCATGTACAGCCAAGCCGTTGTGTAGAGCTGAGATCACGCTGCGGTTGAACTCTACAGCAACCACGGTCCGGTGGTAGTAAGACTTGTCCTCCTGCACTCTGGTTTTCAAACCTGAAAAAATATAGTCAGTGAGCTTTAAGGACGGATAAGGCAAAATTATCCATTGGATACAGGTAGTGAAACAGCATATTCCAAAACGATAGAAAACATTGTAAGAAACTACAATTTCTGTATTACTATATTGGGAAATAAAGAAAGAAGGTCTATTCACATTGATTTATAATATTGTTATTATGTCATAGAGCTGATTTTTCTTACGTCAGCTCTCAATAAACGAACATTGGGAGAATGGGCTTTCCAAAAAAACTAAATAAAGGAATAAAAAAAAACAAATAAAGGTTTATTTTACAAAAGTTTCTATCAGAACGATCTGTTGCAGTATAAATCAATTGCAGTATTTTCGTGCATCGGAAAATGTAGCACTTATTCAATTCAAAATGTCTGTTAATTTTAAAATCCTGCATGACAGAATTTTTGAAAAATTTTAAATTAAAAATATTGAGATGACATGCACATTTTTTATACTATTTCAGGTAGAATACTCAAAATTATAGGCCTATAAACAAACTTTTTTTACTTTAAAGTTCCGTTGGCAATTCCATTGTGAAATTGGAAAACATTACCTAATCAGAATCTTTAAGCCTTTTCAAAACAATGATTTTCTTTCAAACACCAAAACTACATGAGTGTATGTTACACTGAACAACTAACTATTGAAGGCCTTGTATCCCAACAACATTTCTACATTAGCTTGAGGATCAAGATCAAACTTGTCTTAAAAAGTTTCAAACATTTTTTTTAGTTCATAGTCCTTTCTGTGTTGCCTTAATGATCAACTATAATTTATTATTATAAAAATTAGCACCAACAAACCAACTGTTTCAACCTATAAACAAGGACCAAAATTTAATTTAAAATTGCTGTACAAATTTTCAGAAGAATTATTGCAACCTGTAATACAGACCCCAGTGTATAAAACTACAAACCATACCTTCGTTGATATTGACATCAAATTCTTCCGGAGAGCTTCCTTGAGCGATGACGATATCATTAAAGCTGTCCTTAACTACTTGGTGATGAGAAAATGTGTAGGGTACTTCTGTGTTGTCGTACATCGCTAGATTCATCTCAATAGAGTCGTCGATGTGTTCTATCTCACTCAGCAAACCTCCACTAAGTATCAGTATGATGGCTAATAGTGGAGTCAGAGCCTAGGTTTAAAACATTTGTAATTAGTTTTTTTTTCGCTTTATTAGATTGTGAATTAGTCTAGTTTACATTTAGGGTTTACTGAATAAAAATATTATATTACAGAAAAATGGCTTATAAGTAGGCCGATTTCAAACTGATTGTGTATATATCATATGGCTGGCTGTTAAAGTCGTCTACCATAGATAGTATACTGAATTTACCTTATATTTACATAACGGAGCCAATCCCTTATGAATAGACTTGAATAAGGGGAAATTAAAATTGGCTGTTTAAGTCGGCCACCATACAGGGTGTTTCAGTAAAGCGTAGCGGGCTGTGCAGATTCAGTTTTTACATGCAAAAATAAGTCGAAAATGTAGAATAATTTTTTCTTCGATTTCGGCTTAGTTTAGCCGTAATCTACCATTTTGTATTTTTTTGAAAATAATTAATAATTCAAAAACTCTTGGAGGTATTTTTATGAAACTTGGTATAAATTTCAAGTCTACAGGTATAAACATTCTCCAAAACTATGTTTGATCAGGCTCATCAAATCTCAAAATGGCGGTCATTTAAAATTTTGCTTAAATGACTGGTTTTCATGGAATTTTACTTTAAAAATTTTAAATGGCCACCATTTTGAAATTTGATGAACCTGATCAACAATATTTTCGGAGAATGTTTATACCTGTAGACTTAAAGTTTATACTAAGTTTTATACAAATATTTCCAAGGGCTTTTAAGAGATATTTATTATTTAAAAAAATATACAAAATGGCTGATGATTACGGCTAAACTAAGCCGAAAAAAAAATATTCTGAATTTAACCAGGGGGCCTGGGGGGTTCGGGGGTACCCCCCCCCGAAAAATTTGTGTAAACTAAGTCTCCAAAATGGCAGTTTTATACCATTTATTTGTCCAAAGTTATAGTGTGACAAATTATTTTAAACCATGTGTATTCACTACTGTATTACTTGTAGTAAAATAAATATATTATGTATGCCCGAGGGGAGGGCGGTCGCCCCCTTCGCCCCCCCTCTGGAGCCGCCACTGGTTGTATGAGGGGAAATTGAAATTAATCCCCCCTTTGCCACAAACGTTCATACTAAGTAAGGCTTCAGTTGGGAAATTAACACACACTAAATATATCAACGATTGACTTCTTTTTTTGCTTCTAAAACACTGATAAGTTACGTTTTGCTTTAAGTTTTAATATCAATAATAATTAAATAAAGTTATTTGCCAAATTGCTGAAGGGGCATCTGAAAAAGCGATCTACAGCAGACAATTAATCCTCCAAAAGGATATTAAAGAGTACAACAAATTGTGTTCATTTAATTTCAATCAATATTTTCAAAACCAATTGGTATAGAATATTGATGAAATAAATTAATTTTTTGTATTTTTTTAAATTTAATTTTGAGTTTGAAAGGATGTGTTTTTTAAATTATTTTATTTGGACTAAAAACCCAATCTAGATTTTTACGTAAATCAATGTCTTTGGAGTTTTTAATAACATATAAACTAAAAAAAACTGAACTTACAAAAATCAAAGTTCCAAACCATGTTCTGTAAAGAAAAATCATCTTCTTGACAAAGAGAGCTCGTAGTTGATGTATTGCAAGCATGAATCCTTCCAAACGAATCCTGGTCTGAACTATAAAAGGAACAAGGTTTCAGTATGACAAATAAATCATATGAGAGATTTTTTCAAAGAGTTCTATTTTTTTACCCATACAAACTAGAGTCGAGGCAGGGGTTAATAGATACAAAACTACATCAGAACACATAACACGGATATTTTGTCCTAATAAAGGACTTAAAAAAAATAGATTGAAGAGAAATATACTCTTCAATACCACTAATTTAAATGCATCTTCTATACAGGGTGAATAAAAAGTCAAGACCCCCCCTCTAATATTTTTCCAAGTAAATATACAGAGATATCCTTTTGGTGGTCGTGCAAGCTTAGCAGGAAGTTTCATTTGATGATTTTGAAATTTTTGAGTGTCCCCCCAAAAGGGGGGATTTGGGGGGTAACTCAAATATTTTAAATGTAAACCCCCTTCAAGTGACACCTCATTTTGAAGTGTTTACAAAAACTTAAAGAATGGTGAAAACTAGAGGTCGCTATCTGTTCTCTATCCAAAATGGTAGCCCGTCAAATGTTGTAGAAAATCAATGGTAAAATTGGTTCGTAATGGTAATATTGGCTACCATTTTGGATAGAGAAGAGATAGCGATCTCTGGTTTTCACCATTCTTTAAGTTTTTGTAACCTCTTCAAAATGAGGTGTCACTTGATGGGGGTTTATATTGAAAACATTTTAGTTGCCCCCAAAATCCCCCCTTTTGGGGGGACGCTCCAAAGTTTTAAATGTAAACCCCCATTTTTTGATACTTTGTTTTGAAGTGTTTACAAAAAACTTAAAGAATGGTGAAAACTAGAGGTCGCTATCTCTTTTCTAACAAAAGTGGTAGCCAATATTACTATTACGAACCAATTTTACCATTGATTTTCTACAACATTTGACGGGCTACCATTTTGGATAGAAAAGAGATAGCGACCTCTAGATTTCACCATTCTTTAAGTTTTTATAAACACTTCAAAATGAGGTGTCACTTGAAGGGGGTTTACATTTAAAATATTTGAGTTACCCTCCAAATCCCCCCTTTTCGGGGGGACACTTAAAAATTTCAAAATCATAAAATGAAACTTCCTGCTAAGATTGCACAACCACCAAAAGGATATCTCTATATTTAATGGGAAAAATATTAAAGGGGGGGGGGTCTTGACTTTATATTCACCCTGTATATTAATAGGCAAGCATGTTTCTTTAAAACCTTTTTTCTCAGCTCTTGTACATCGCAGGGAAAATCTACACATACTGTAAGAAAGATATTTTCCTGTAGATGTGCAGAGTTCCTTTATACATTGAAATAGGCTAAAAATAAGCTTATGGGTTGCCATGCTGGTGTCAAAATAAGAACGAAATATAAACAGAAAATCAAAACAAATGTAAGAAATTCCAATCACATGGTTTATTTACAGCGTGGGGTGAAAATAAAAAGAAATTTGTACATTACATATCTTTGGTCGAGTTTTCGACCACTGGATGACCTCTAGTATACTTTATTTAAGATCAAAACAAATCATTAACATCTGGTTGTTTAAATTTTCATTCAGTTCAAAATGAAGATTAGCGATGAATCATTGCAGTCTGGACAGGAATTGATCTTAGTATTCGTAATTATCATGGTTCAACGTTGAGAGAAATTTATAAGAATGCTAATATTTAAAAAGTCTTTAAAACATACCTACAGGGAGAGAGCTTAAGATAAGTTCCGCTGGAATTGCTTTCACTTCAAATGGTAAACCTCCTTCAGCGACTCTGAAAAAATTAGTTACTAGATAAATCTTGTATTTCTTAGGGAAAGTAAAGAGTAAATATTCAATTCATTTCATATTGGAGATTTGCAGTGGAAGTGAATCAAACTATATGATATAGTCAAGTTTTGGTGATGGTAAATTGAAACTATGTCAGGACTTAGTGCAGAAAGGGATTCATATTGCACTTAGAAGAGACACTTTCGATCCAAGGAATATAAACAAATTTTGAGTTGACTGGAGGGCTTTCCCTTGAAAGCGTTTGTGATTCTTTCATGTAATCACAAAAAATAACACAGTTGTATAGATTACACTGTGTCGTTTTATTTGCTTTGAGGAAAATATTGTCAATAGTTTTTTAATTCATCTCAACAATTTCATAACAGAAAAACTTAAATAATGTCAAATGTCAAACAAACCACTTACCTAAGAAACACGTCTTCCATTGTTGTACAGGCTATACTGATTCCTGTTATTCCCAACTCAGTTTTTCTGTTTTCCAAAACTTCAAAAAGCGAAGGGAACTTTGCAGCGTCATTCGAGGACACGTTGTAAGACAACTGTGTCGGCAAGTTCGTCTTCAACTTGGGGTCATTTAAGTGATCTTCCATCACAGTGGTAATGGGAACTTCCAATTTTTCAGCTTCTTTCAAAATAACTATGTGATAACCTGTACCTGTAGTTGTAAACATGAAAAAAACATTTTTGGAATAGCTGAATGAATAAAGAATAAATAACGATTATTTCTTACAGAATTTAAGGTGTTTGCAAAGTTAATCTACTGTACTTTTTATTGAGATAAACTAACTTCACCATGAAAATTAGGTTCTACAAATTGAAAAATTACAAAATAAGTAATAAAAAGAAAATAATGAAAACATTTCTAAAATAGTATGAAAGGTTTATGAGACTTTTGAATTTAGTCCGCAAAGAGAAGAGTACTGCCATCATTATCATCCAGGTCATTCATCATAATTATGAACAAAAGCGGCCCCAAAATGGATCCTTGAGGAACTCCATGTTCTACTGCACTGCAAGAGGAGGAGGCCCCTGCCAGGGTCACCAGCTGTGTGCAATCTAGAAGGTAGGATCGAAGAGTAGAGAGCACGACTCCGTCCAGCCCGTAGAAGTAGAGCTTCTTCAGGAGCATCTCATGAGACACAGTGTCAAATGTATGGCTCAGATCACAGAGAGTAAGCAGTACAATTGTCTCTGTTTGACTAAGCTTTTTTAAATGTTTTGATTTAAAAGAACATATAGTTGAAAGAACCTCTCATTGGATGTGCTAATGTGGTAGTTGGTAGTACTATCCTCTTTAAGCTTGTTATGCTCTGATAGTGAATGGTGGCATAAAATATGCCATAGTTCACAAAAAGTTATTAGATGATTAAATAAATGGTTCATAAGAAAAAATAGTATTTTTCAGCTACACACTCTATCGGTGGTTCAACCAAGCTAAGTTTTTATTACAACTAAAGTACAACTTTTACATGAGAATGGTGTGTCAATTCTACAATAGTGTATACATACAGGGTGACCGTTAAGTCTTAGGACGACTTTATAACTTTTAAACGACAAACGATATCACAACCAAATTTGGTATACCGTTACTGGAAATTGTAAGCTACTTTTCTGTGTACATGGTGGTCGGATATCACCTTTGGGGGACGGCCCGTCGGGGGTCAGAGGAAAATCTTTAATGACAGCCTATGTTGAGTTGTACATCATTTTAAAGGTCTACTTTAACTGAAAACAATGCCGCAAACCGCTCTTCAAAAGGTTGATCCTGCGCAAAATGGCAGATGTTCAAAGATTTTCAAAATTAGCCAATTTCTTTAAATTAGAACACTTTTTTAAATCTTTAAACAACTGTCATTTTTTAACGGATGGTCCTTTTGAAGTACGGTTTGCGGCATTCTTCTTTGCTTAAAATTCCCTTTAAAATGATTCCCATAACTTCACATTCAGTGATCCAAATAACTCTTCAGGGCGACGGCCCACAAGGAGTTGGAAGTAAATCTTGAATGGAAGCATAGGTTGATATGCACATCAAATTAAAGGTATTTATTAGTAGAATACAATGCCGCAAACCGTACTTCAAAAGGACCATCCGTTAAAAAATGACAGTTGTTTAAAGATTTAAAAAAGTGTTTTAATTTAAAAGAAATTGGCTAATTTTGAAAATTATTGAACATCTGCCATTTTGCACAGGATCAACCTTTTGAAGTGCGGTTTGCGGCATTGTTTTCAGTTGAAGTAGACCTTTAAAATGATGTACAACTCAACATAGGCTGTCATTAAAGATTTTCTTCTGACCCCCGACGGGCCGCCCCCCAAATGTGATATCCGACCACCATGTACACAGAAAAGTAGCTTACAATTTCCAGTAACTGTATACCAAATTTGGTTGTGATATCGTTTGTCGTTTAAAAGTTATAAAGTCGTCCTAAGAGTTAACGGTCACCCTGTATATATAGTCAAAAGTTAATGCATACTAAACTTTGCTACATATACAACAAATAAATTATTTCTCATCTCCACAAAGACTCAAACTTACCATACAACTTTTTCAAGAAAATCGAGGTTCCATAGCAGCTAACTCTTCCGTGATCCATTATTGCAATTCTATCTCCCAAAACATCTGCTTCTTCCATAAAATGAGTTGTTATCAAAATTGTTCTCGCTCCTCTATAGTTCTGGAAGTTGACAAAATAATGTCTGCGCTTACATTAATTAATTATGATAGATTAGCATAATTTGGCTTTAGTTAGAAACTGAATTATGTATGACTCTTTAAAAAAAAACCTAAATTTCGGATCACTATCGACCTGATTGGCTTTGTAGTGATCTAAAATGGAAGTACCGTTATGTCACTTCCACATAGACAAGCCATTGTAACTACAGTGATAAGATAGTGCAGGCTTCAGATGTTGTAGGTCTTAAGCCAGCAATGTTTTGCATATCAGCCCAAACGTTATCACTAAGCTACAAAGAAAAACGATTAAGCACACTGAGATTTAAATATTTCAAGCTATGGCAAACCTATTGAGATGTATTCAGTTATATCTGGATGTAGGAGCTGTGTGGGGATTGACTACAAAAATGAGCTGAAATTCGGAAATGATTAAGTAGTTCCATTGTTTCCAAAGAAGGTTAATTCTATCAACATTTGCGTTTTGGATCCAATTTTAATAAATTTTGATGTTGAAAAGGATGAGTATCCCATTCTTACCAAAAGTATATCCCAGACTTCCCTTCTTGACTCTGGATCCATCCCAGCAGTTGGCTCATCCAACATCAGGATCTGAAAATTAAAACATTAGAACACAAGAAACAAAAATTTTAACTTTCTATACTACTGATTTCAGAACTAAATCTAAATAGTGATGAGAGCAAATTTGAATCGACATTTGATTCCTGAAAGAACAACCGTGTTTGCTGTGTTACTATTTAATTTTGATTACCCATAAGATTTACAGTGTTTACTCAACATCTACATAAGTGGTTGCACATAACAGTTGTAGTTATTTGTTCAATGATTACCTTTGGGTCGCCCATCAAGGCAATGGCGAGGCACAGTTTCCGTTTCATCCCCCCTGACAGTTGAGCGACGTACTGATTGCTCTTGTTGGTGATGTGGAAAGACACAAGCAGTTTCATTCCTACAGCCTCGGCACGATCTTTGGGCAGACCTTTCAGCTGTAATCATGATCAATATATGAATATTTAATCAAATCTATAACATACATATCTTATTTTTTACCAGTCTGTTCCTATTATTTGGAGTTTTAAGAGGAAGTATGTTGCAAGTCTCAATGACGTTTTTGTGTTACACAGAGGAGGAATTAAGAATGGAAATCCTCCAGCAAATTTGGAACCATACTGTTGTTGCCATTTGTATTTCATACTAATGATAAAAAATATAGCATTGCGTGCTGAAACTTGAATTGAAACTGGTTGTCTCTAAGCTAGCCGTTATTAGCTAAGAATGCATTTCTTTATTTCTACCGTTTAGGTCATCATTTATTTAGGTTATTCATCGTTCTTTTAGGTCATTATTAAAATTAGTAACATACACAATTGGAGCACAAAATAGAAGAATAACAGTAGTAAAAAAGTAATAAGCACATTTACAGAGGCAATGCATTATTATGTCAGAACTATTGAACAGGCACATGGAAATAGATAGTCCTGGCTCATGTGATATTAAAAATAGAAACCAGTTTAATTAAGTATTTTTATCTCCTTACCATTCCAAAAAATACAAGGTGTTCTAGAACAGTGAGATAAGAAAACAGCAGATTGTGTTGAGGGCAAAGTCCGAGATTGTGCCGGAACCGATCCATGTCATCAAAAATATTCACTCCATCCACAATCACCGATCCTTTGCTAGGCGAATAGAGACCTGTAAATGTAAAACAAAATTATCTAGGAAAATAATTATCCACGTTTATGTTTTATTTAGTGATGTGCGTATCGATACGTATCGATACAGATATCGATACAAGGACCTCAAAATATCGATATTTTGTATCGATACGATACGTGGGAGTGTATCGATATGCCCGTATCGATACACCTATAGCCAATATCGTATCGAATATCGTATTGTTTATTTATTAATATAAATCTTATTTTTATGGTAAGAAATTTGTCTTCCCATCTTCCTCCCCTTAAAAGTAGTGGTGGAAATTTGATATTTTACCCTAGCATCTTCAAAAACACTGATAAAACATGTATTTTCACCTATGTTTTGCAAAAAACCTCAAAACTAGGGCACGGCCGCCCGCGGCCTTCGAACTGGCAACGTCGCAAGTGCTGTTGTAACAGCTGTTTTTGTTTGGAAGTAGCTAATGGTATTTGTGTATTTACGAAAGATTGGTTACTGGACTATGACAATATTGACTCCGCTTAAAAACGTACAGATATAGATTTTAATTCATATTGTTTCGGGTTTCAATTCTGTATGTTTTATTTTCAATATTTTAATAAATTTATGTTCATAAATTTAAATTTAAATCATTAAAGTGTGAATTAATGAGCTGATGTCACCTGTCTGCCATGTTATCTTATGGGACGTCTGTCACTGATTGCGATGTTGCCAATTCTACCAGGCCGCGGCCTGTAGTTAAAGGCGGCCGTGACTAGGGCCACCATTAATGGAAGTGGGGACCCTCATTATCCATATTATACTATTTAATGTGTAAGTGACATACCCACCATCATTATTAGTACTTTTTGGTTCAATTAATTATCCCTGTGTAAAAACTAGGAAAACAATAATAAAATGTTTTCCAATTTTGAGGGTTTACCGGAATTTGGAGGTTATGTAATATGTATGTTTGATACAAATAAAAAGACACAGGAAGGAAACGGTTTTTCTGAGGTAAGATTACAAGCACTAACCCTCTTTTCAAGCTTGTAAGTAACATAGTATTTGTCTATGCAACTTGAATATTTGAGATATTTAAATTAAAAAAAAATTATAAATAAACAATACGAAACGATATTTTATCCGATACGGGTAAAAATCGATACATGAGGATACGATACGATACACGTATCGATACACCACGTTCCGATACGTATCGATACGCAGTATCGATACATTGTCCCGTATCGCCCATCACTAGTCTAAATAACTATACAGCCCGATGTGTTTTATTATAAAACTAGCTGTGTGCCCGTTCTACGCACGGGGATCTTATCATAGTCAGTTAAAACCTTCTTATATAAAGCACAGCAGTTGGTTTGCATACTTTCAGATATGCTGACAAAACTATTCCTTCGCAAATACAGTATCTGACAGTTTCAAGCCAAAACTAATGCTTCGCAATTAAATGTCACCCGGATCTTGTTGGTCCATATGTTATATCCAATGATTAAACTAAATAAACGGGTTCAGCATTCTGACACATACTTTCTCCCATAAGTTTGTCAACAACCTTTATCATGTGTAAGCGGTGAGAGTAAATATACGGAAATGGGATTTGTACAATTTTGTTCAGAATTTAAAGGACTATAACATAATGGTTAAAAGTATTTAAGGTACTACTGTACCTCAACCTCTTAATTTAACACTTTATTCGGGTTGACATTTTCATTATCAAGGCGCTCTTGTCCTTTCCGTGAAACATTGAGAAACAAGGACATTAATGCGTTACCATCATACATACACACAAAAATACCGAACTTAATTAGGGAATCTGCTACGCTTTAAGCATAAAAAGGTACAGTAAACCCCCTCTTAACCGACCTCGTATTAACCGATAATCGGATTATCCGCCTTCGATCGCAAAATAATACAGTTTGTTTTAACCGACCTTGATTTGAGAGCAGCTCGGTTTAACCGCCGCTTTCTAGGAATCTCGGCATTTCCGCTCCCACGCTGGGCGATGAGAACTGAACCATACGCCTATCTCCACAGGATATGACTAACAATAAGCTATTTTGTGTTGAGCACAAAAAATATAGCATAGCCTATTGTCAGTTTGTCATCATCGTTCGTAGCTCGAGCACATCTGATCTGATTTGTTATCTGTGCGGCAAATTTATAACATCATAAAGTACGTTACGATTTTGAGAACTGATTATCTTATTGCCGGAGTAAACAAACAACGCAACTTGTAAGGAAGGCAGGGAAAGGGGGATAACAACTCCAAGGTCAAGATAGTTTTTGTGCCTGGAGCCTCCAGTGAGAGGCTATAAATAAACGTCCTGTTTTGTAACAAAATGGTTGCTTGTATCTTTAATGTCGACAAAAGGTTCTGTACTGTATTACGATGTATTTGGAAAGCATCAATTAATACATTACAGTATTAAAGTTATTAAAATAGGAATTTTATTGACTCTTGCCTAGTATTATAATAATATATTCCGCTGAAAGTAGGCCTATTTGACTTAACTGTGTTTTGTGTTTATTTGTGACTTTTCTATCAATATGAAAAAGGAGATAAGAGTAGTTTATTTTATAAATAATGCAAGTATGACTTCAAAATGATGATTATATAATTCCAAATGAATAGCACTTCATTATGTTATGATTTTAGGGATTGCCCGTTTTATCCGACCTTTTGAGTTATCCGACCTAGGTCCAGTCCCATTAGGGTCGGTTAAGAGGGGGTCTACTGTACATATAAAATTAGTACTTGAAATCTTTGTTAATGACATAAAATTTGATCATAACAATTTATATTTGCTTGGACCGGAGATGACTCGAAATTCTGTGGAAATGCTATCTGAACACATCAATTAAATTGAATAGGCCTACGCCTGTAATAAATAAGGTGCAACACCAACGATAACTAATTTGTAAATTACTGTGATGTGTTGGTACGTAAAAATGATTCTTGCTGCTACTAAAGGTTAAAAGGAAAAGAACCAGTACCGTACCAAAAACCAACGTTTACAGTTAAGAACTGTAGTACAGCCGACCAATTATATGCGTTAATCAAGGTTATTGATCTCTTGGTTTTGGATTTTCTCGTAAAAAGTTATCGGCAATCAAAGTTATTTCCCATTAATTGCTTTATTTGTACACAACTCTATCGGTGTCAGTTTGAAAAAAAAACCTTATACAACATAACTTTCTGTTATTTAATAGATTACGTATTCTCTAAACAATGGTTGCTGGTATATATATATTAACATTATAAGGAAATGTGACAAAAATCACACAACGTTGGGTTTTTGGACGTTTATAATTTTATTTCTTTATCAAGGATCGTTGTCGAAAGGGTTGTTATAAATAATTGGGTAAGCATACGTACCACACGTACCCAAGAGAAGGGCTATGAGCCTATTGGCTGTATGGTCCAGCGATTGCATCACACGGTGAGTAGGAACTATTGACTTTATATAGTCAATGGTAGGAACAGAAAGTGACACATTGGAAAATCGAGTTCAGCATCATCCGTAAACCTCTGTTACAATCACCCACTGCAGTTGTAATATTTTGCTTAACACTTTACACAACCGCCATTGAAGAGCCGTCAATGAGTAGAACATTGTTTCTAAGCTATTGGCGACGGTCATTAGTAAATTTAAGTTTCCCAGCCGTATACAACACTGATTCAATCTTGATTCAATGTCTTCTTTCTGGTTATCAAAACTCCAAAACAATTTTATACACATATTTCTGGTTCCTGACCTGGATGATGCCTAGTTATTTAATTTACGGTTACACTATATTATTCCACTTGCGATTAATTAAATCCTTTATGTAATAAAAACGTTTTTAATCTCACTTATGCAATGACACTATCGGAGGAGGAAGGCCTCCTCAATGAAGACGGCTCCGAAACTGTCAAGGAGTTAGAGGTAGAATCTGGAAAGCTCAAGCTTACATCAAGGAAACCTTGGCGAAAGATGTGCGGTTCCAGAACGAAGAGATTCCTCTGGCTTGTAAGGAGGGGAATTCCAAGGCAGGAAGCCTATGAGCAGAGCCTCGAGCCACTAGGGAGGAATGACAATAAAGGGGAGACCAGCAGTAGGCCAAAAAGACCTAGGCAGGACACAACTACCCCCGAAGAAGCCCGTATGAGGAAAAACAGGAAGAAAGAGAGCTCAGCAGGGGCAACGCCTACTACCCAGGAGGCAACCAGTCAACCCCACAAACTCTCTTATAAACAGGCGACAGAGGGGATCAGAATTGGAGTCATCCACTCCGACTACCCCGAGGTCCTGCTTACAAGCGAACAGATGGATGCACTTCAGGAGATCATCTTGACTCTCGTCTGGAGTGAGGCTCCAGAGGAAGGCCTTCGGCCTAGATTCAACGCAGTCTACAGCAGGCAGGGCTACATGGTTCTGGTCTGCGCAAATGAGGAGACGGCTGCCTGGATAAGAACTAAAGGCGAAAGGATAAGCCTTGAGGGGGGGATAACCGTGAAGGTCGTGTCTGAGGGAGACATTCCCAAGGCAAAAGTCCTAACGGTCTACTTCCCGAACAGTAGCCAGTACTCGACCCAGCACATCCTGTGGGCACTCAACAGGCAAAACGAAGACCTGCCAGCAGAGACTTGGAGGGCTCTGAGCAGAGTGGAAGTCGAAGGAAATGCAGTGATTTTGGTCCTGTCCATCGACCCAAAGACGGCTGCCAGGATCACTAGGGACCGTCCATTGATTGTGGCCTACAGATTCGGTGTAGTCACGCTGAAGCTGAGGGGCAAAGGTCCGGAGGAGGGAGCTGTTCAATCAGCTCCGGCACCTCGGCCTGAGCCCCCCTCGTCCACCATAACATCAAACGCTGAAGGGGAGGCCACCGTCACTCCAGCGCAGCCAACAACCGCTCCGCCAGCGCAGTCACCAAATGCTCCGCCAGTGCAACCACCATCTGCCACCCTGGGTGCAAGGAAAAGGACACCACCCTCAACATCCACTTCCACGGTGAGGTCAGTGGAGTCAAGGAGGGGCGAAGAAAGGAGAAGCCAAGACTCCCGGCACTTCCCTATCTTCGACAGGAGAAACTCCCGGGAAAGGAGAGAGGAGAGGCACAGGGGGCCCTCAACTACAAGAAGGGAGCAGTACCGGCCAAGGAGCAGCAACCCTAGACAAGGGGACAGAAGGGAGTCCCATCACCGTGACAGGAGGGGTAAGAGTGACCCCTCAGACAGGAAACGGGAATGAATTCCCGATTCATACAGGCCAACCTCCATCATGCCAAAGGTGCTTCAGCAGCCCTGGGCAGGAGGTTTGCCACCGAAGGGCTCGATTTTGCCCTCCTACAAGAACCCTGGGTAAGAGGAGGAACAATTCGAGGTCTTCCAACCCAGGTGGGTAAGCTGGTATACGATAGGGGATCTGCTAACCCTAGGGCCTGCATCCTCATGAACCCTAACAACGTATGCTTAGCTGTTACAGAATTCACCAGCCGTGACTTGGTAACAATCCAAGTCGATTTCGACTCCACTGCAGGGAGGCAAAAAGCTCTAGTTGCCTCAGCCTACTTCCCCAACCCAGGAGAAACTTGTCCTCCGGGGGCGGTGGTGCAGTTGGTGGAGTATGCTAGAAGCAAGAGGATTCCCCTAATCCTCGGCTGTGACGCAAACGCTCACCATACCATCTGGGGGAGTTCGGACACAAATGAAAGAGGTAAGGATCTCCTGGAATTATATTTAAGGTTGACTTACAGATAGAAAATATAGGTAATGTACCAACCTTCAGAAATAGAATAAGAGAGGAAATTTTGGACCTCACCCTATCGTTAAACCTTGGTCACCTGGAAACAAAAGGATGGCACGTCTCTGATGAAGCCTCTCTATCTGACCACTGCCATATTAGGTTTGACTTGATAGCAAGCGTCAAAAGCGTTCTGACTTATAGGGCTCCTAAAACAACAGACTGGGTGGGATACAAGGAATCCCTCAGGGATGAAGTTGAAGAAAAGGTGATCCAACTCATGACCATTGACGGCCTTGACATGAAGGCAGAACAGTTAAACAGGTCAATGCTAAATGCCTTTGAGGAAAATTGCCCTCTCAAAACCAAAAGGACAACAAGAAATGTGCCCTGGTGGAATGAGAAGCTAAACAAGATGAGATGTAAACTCCGTAAACTCTTTAACACCACCAAAAGAACTAGGGATTGGGCTAACTACTCAAGAGCCCTAACGGAGTACAACTCAGAGATAAGGAAAAGCAAAAGGAAGTCCTGGAGGCAGTTCTGTGAGGGGATTCAAAACCTACCAGAAGCAGCTAGACTGCAAAAAGCCCTTCAGAGAGATGTGCCTAACCCGCTCGGTACATTAAAACGGGAGGATGGGAGTCACACAACAGGAATGGAGGAGACTCTTGAAGTCCTCATGAACACCCACTTCCCAGGGAACACCCCACTAGGCAACTCAACAGGACAACACGTGATACCCTGGAATAGGAAATCACCTAGAGACATTGCTTTGGCTAGAAGATTTTCGAGTAAGCTGTTCAAGCCGGAGGTCGTGAAGTGGGCTGTCGATTCATTCAGCCCTTTCAAGTCTCCAGGCGGGGACGGAATATTCCCAGCTCTCATCCAAGAAGGACTAGAGGTCCTTTTAAATCATATGATAGCTCTGTTCAGGGGCAGCTTTGCCCTAGGTTACATCCCAATTTGTTGGAGGAAATCAAGGGTGGCGTTTCTGCTGAAAAAAGGTAGAGACCAGGCCCAGCCTAAATCCTACAGGCCAATTTGCCTGTCGTCTTTCATGCTAAAGACTATGGAAAAAGTGATAAACCGCCACATTAGGGATGCATATTTAGTTATCAACCCCCTAAGTGCGAGCCAACATGCGTTCATGAAGGGCAAATCTACAACGACGGCCCTAAGCACCCTAGTGGCAAAGATCGAGGAAACCCTAGAACACCAGGAGATTATGGCAGGGGTCTTCATGGACATTCAGGGTGCCTTTGACAACGTGAGTTACAAATCTATAGAGGCTGCAGTCAGAAGCAGGGGCATCTCCCCCGACGTAGCAGCTTGGATAAATGCCCTACTCAAGAGCAGGGTGGTGACGGCAGAATTGGGAGGCTACTCGACAGCTATCATTGCTCGGCAGGGTTGCCCTCAAGGAGGGGTTATCTCACCCCTGCTGTGGGCTCTTGTGGTGGATGATCTACTGAGAGAGGCTGACAGGAGAGACATAGACCTCCAAGCCTTTGCAGACGACCTAGTTCTGACTGTCAGAGGCAAACACGCAGCCACAGTGAACAACCTTACCCAGACAGCCGTTAGCTTCATTGAGGGGTGGTGCTCCAAAGAGGGGCTCACAATTAACCCTGACAAAACAGAGCTAATCTCCTTTACGAGAAGGAGAACTAACCTAACAGCCCCAAAAATTCAGGGGAAAAGTGTAAAACTTGTGAAGGAAACAAAATACCTTGGAGTTTACCTCGACCAGAAACTGACCTGGAGCAGGCACTTTGACTATGTACTCGCAAAAGGTACAGGTGCTTTTGGTGCTTGCAGAAGAACCTTTGGCAAGAAATGGGGACTCAGTCCCAAACTCACACATTGGACCTATGAAGCCATAGTCAAACCAATGGTTACATATGCAGCCTTAGTATGGTGGCCTAAGGCAGAGCAGACAGTAGCTGGCAGGAAACTGCAGCAGCTGCAAAGGCTAGCGTGCTCGGGGATCTGTGGAACCATGAAATCCTGTCCCACAGCTGCAATGGAGGCAATACTCGACATGCTCCCACTAGGGCTGGAAGTTAAGAAATGCGCAGCCATATCTGCACTAAAAATGGGCAGCAGAGGTGAGCTGAATCTACAGAGGCAGTCTGGCCACCTGTCCATCCTGAGGGGATTCCCAAGCATGGACATGGAACTAGGCACACCAGACCTCATGACAAAGGAATACGACTTCGAGATTCCTTACCAAGTTGCAATAGGGGGAAGAGACAACTGGCAACAGTGCAACTTCAGCAATGACAGAGCATGCTTGGTCTATTACACCGATGGAAGTCGGAAGGATGAGAGATCAGGGCTGGGAGTGTATGGTAACAAAACCAAAATATCTCTGGCCTTGGGCAGAACAACAACAGTTTTTCAATCAGAGGTCCTGGCGATTGAGTGCTGTGCTAATAATATTATTAGCAAGAATCTAAGAAAGGGTAAAATCCTTATTCTCTCTGACAGCCAGGCAGCACTGAAGGCGCTGGGGTCATGTGTGACACAGTCACGAACAGTAAAAGGGTGTAAAAACACCCTCAAAAAGTTAGCAGAGCGAAACCAAGTCAAATTGTCTTGGGTTCCTGGACCTTCGGGGCATGAGGGGAACGAAAAAGCCGATGCATTGGCCAGGAAGGGTGCGGAAGACCAACTGTCAGGACCAGAACCCTACTGTGGTACCCCCATAAGCTCAGGAGTAGCCAAAGTCCAAGACTGGGTCAAGGTTCAAAAGGCTCTGGCCTGGATGAACCACCCAGGTATGAGGACGTCCAAATTACTAATCGACCCCACTGATAAAGGCTGGAAAGACTTGCCGAGCCTTAAGAAAGGGGACATTAGTCTGCTAGTAGGAGTGTTAACAGGGCACGGTCCTATCAGGAAACATCTCAGGACCATAGGGAGGTCACAAACAGACCTCTGCAGGTTCTGTGAGAACGAGGTAGAAACCTCAGAACATTTATGGCTGGACTGTCCAGCGTTGGCCCATAGAAGGCTTATATCTCTGGGGAGGTTATTCCTGGAACCAACAGAGATAAGGAAGCTGGGTGTCTTTCAGCTCCTGGGCTACTTGAGGAGCCTAGGGCTGTCAGAATAAATTAAAGGGTGCTACAAAAGGTCTCCAGGCCGAAGTAGCTAGGGGTATGCCATTACCCCAGCCCCCACAAAAAAAAAAAAAAAAAAAAAAAAAAAAATCTCACTTGGATGGGATTTGCCTTCAAAACGTGATCGCCTTCAAATGGTTGTGGTGTTTGTAAACAACATTTGTAAACATTTCAGTGACAGCTAGAAAAAATAATCTTGATCCGAACAGCTGTTCGTTGTTTCATAGATGATTATGTGATACAAATTGGAAGAAAACTTGACAAAAATCGCACAAAACTGCATTTTTGAATGGCCGTAATTTTAATTACAAAGTAGTGAGACCATATTTTAATGGCTAAAGACACTCTCGCCAATCCAGTGAATACATTAAAATGACTTGGGTCTTGATAGGTACTCTCGTTTTCCTGGAGAAGATTGCGTAAAATGCCATCTTGAGTGTGTCAGACAGACAGACAGACAGACAGACAGAAATTTAGATGAGACTTGTTTCGGCTTCTTTAATGTATAAAACGTAAAAATAACCTAAAAATGTATGATTCTGAGCAATGTACAGACAAAACTCTAATTTTATTTATATAGAAGATACATTCAACACAAACAAACAATTTTATAATAACTACACTGAATGGTAAAGAATCCTTCATCTTGGTACAAGAAATATACCGGGTACTATAAAAATTTAAAATGTACCAATGATCAATAAAAATATTTTACTGCGCCACTGATTACATTTTCAATCAATATTTGAGTAAGAAAGATAATGAAAATACTCTGGTTTTAGTGTATGGTGTTAGGTTTTCTTTTTATTATACCAAGATTAACTCTTTTCCATTCGCCTACCATCCCAGTAATAGTCCTTAAAACCTAGGCCATTTATTACACAAACAATACATAAAAGTTGAATTACCACACAAGATGGACATTGTCGTAGTTTTGCCAGCTCCGTTGTGTCCGAGAAGAGCTGTTATCTCTCCCTCGTAAATATCAAGATTGACTTTATCCACAGCTACTTTGGGCCCGAAAACTTTACGTAAACTTTGAATGCTAATTCCAATTTTCGTGTCCTTTGGGGGTGGTTCAAAATTGTTCTGGTCGTCGATCTCACAAGAACCAACATTGTCTTTGTTGGATTTCCACAGCTAAAACATTAGTAAATTATTATTTATGCTGAATTGTTACAATGTAAACAAATTGTTACTGACAGGGTGGAAATAAAAAGTGAAATAGTAAAATCTGAAAAACTGAGAAAGTGTACTTCTACATGAATGTATGATAAATTAGGAAGAAAGTTTAGAGAATATAAAGTAGATTACTCGTAAAATAAATTGCCAACCAATGTGAAATATGGCCAATCAAAGTTTAAAGAAGAACATTTGTATAGTGTAAATGAAAAAAAAAATACTAATTTATGCAGTAGCATAGACAAATAGAATAGATATAGACTGTCAAAAGAAGGTTCCACAATGTGCCGCTAGGAGTGCCGTGTAGTTACGGTGCACACTGCTGCAGACGAGGAGCTGTGTGCTACCAGCGGACGCTGCAGCAGTGTGCGCCATAAATAAAAGGCACTCCTAGTGGTGGACACCGGAACATCCGGAACATATGCTAACCGCAGATGTGCTGTCGGTCTATATTATTCTATTTGTCTATGGCGGTAGTAAATAAAAAAAAATTAAAAGAACTTAACTACAGTATTTGTCTGAGTTTATAGATTAAGACTGAGTTGGAAAAAAGGTTAATGGTTAACAATTACTTGCCTTCAGTGGGAAATAGAATGGCTTAGCTCTCCCATAAGGCCCAGGTTTTACTGCATCAACATACCAAGTGATGATGGAGAAGAGGAACCAATCAAAGTAAAACATGAAGATGACATGAGCAAGAGACAGACCTCCAGTGGTTCCTTTCTCAAAGAACCTGCTCCAAGACCAAAATTTACCTGTACAAATTAGTCTTGTTGAAATAGCGTTGATTGTTTAACATTCTATGACTGTGATACAGCAAAACAAATTAAACCTAACTTATTGTATTTAGTTGACAATTAGACAATGAACTATGTTCAGCTTTCTCATTCCGTTAAAGCAAAAAGAATGTCCATGGCAATAAAGGATGTAATTTGGTTTGAATAAAAAATTTTGAAGATAAATGCTTCAAAATTATTTTAAGTTTTTATCTTAATCAATTCCCAAGCATTTGTTGTAACTTTAAATTTATAGTTTGTTGGAGGAATCTTAAAAATGTTCTTTAGTAAGAGTAAAACTAAACATAAAAAGTGTTAAATGAAAAATTCAAACCCCCAAGAAGAAAAATATAATTTCATGCGTCTCAAATCTAAATCATCACAACCAACCTTTATGTTGAAAGTTGATAAAGATGGTAAACGCCCAGGAGAGACATACAGGGGGAGAGATACAAGAGATGAGCTGGGCAGACTTGCTAGCAGGAGATGTAGACGTTAACATGTCCAACATCGTGAATGGAGGAATGATCCACAGCAATATGCCGACAATCGTGGCTAAGTTGGCTGAAATGAGTTGGAAATGATTTACACAATTGGAGAGTTGGTTTTATTAGATTTGTTTTTGATAAAGCATCAGGTATTTCAGTAATGCTAGAAAAAGTGTAAAATAAAAAGAACATGTCTTTTACTATCTCAAAATATTTGAAATGGCCAAATTTTTGCTTACAGGATCACGTAAACCCACCATCATTCTGGAAATTAATTCTAACTATACACAAACTGGTTTAGGATATTAGTTTTTTGAAGGACCCTCATTGCAAGATCTTTTTTAAGGAATTTCAGTTCCAGCTTGTAAAACTGCATCTATATCGTTAAAGCAAATGTTGATACAAAACAATTATCATATAAAACCAAGCTTTGTGTGAATTTTTACAACCCAATTAAAAATATCGTCACTACTCATCTGAAAAGATCCATTTTGGGGCTTGGTAGTTGTTTCCGCGCTCGGCTTCGCCACGCTCGTAAACCACTATCTTGCCCTGAACAACACTTTCAGGATTTGTAGTGAAATATACTATTTTTGATACCGGATATCTGGGTATTACTTGAACCCTCTACAATTGCAAATTTTTGTTCAGTGATTTGATATAATTTAAAACATTTGCAATCTTACGGCTTGTGAAGAATGTGCTGACAGCGAAGCAATAGAGGACCATGGTGACTATGAACAACATCAACAGATACCAGATGACCAACCAGCTGTCTACCTGGTACAGGGGCTCACAAATGTTGTCTGAGAACCTGTGATTCAGTAGTTCACAACGATCCAACCATGGAAGCCTGCACATATGGAAGAAATAGCCAGAAGATACAGCTTAAAAAAAAAAAAAAAAAACAAGAGTCTTGAACCAAGGCTAAGGATGCCACCAGAGAATTGTACAGGCGTGACTTGTCAGGGCGTCTGACAGGTCCACAAGAGAGTTCATCATCCAGAAAATTTTTGAAAACAAAGTGATAAAAAATTAGGGGTTTTGTGTATTTTTTTTACCAGATATTGCTTACAAAAATTAGTATAGTAACTCAATATTTGAGTATGTTGCGGAAAAATTCCTAATTTCTTTACCGTAAATTTCTGCCCCCCCCTCTCTCTGGCGTTGAACTATTTTTATATTCTAAAATTTTTATTTTATTGTTGGTCTATCAATATCATACTGTTAATGTGTTGGTGAAAACAACTATAACTTTATAATGAAACTGAATGTACTTAATTCTATGGAAACTCTGTCTTTTGTTTTTTCTATGAGTGTTTAGTAAATTATGCTGCTGTAAATCATAGGAGAAAAAAAGCTTGAATATATAATACAAATTTGTGAAACTGGCTCCAAACTGTACACAAAAGTGGGCAAACTTTAAGGCTCTCACCTCAATAACGGTTTGTGTAATTATTGGTTGTACACACACTCACCTAAACATAACAGTTATGATGATGACAGATATGCTGTACACCATCAGAGAATGAATCATCCATCCTGTCCATAACATCCATGTATGGAGACCTGTCATCTTCTGGAGCTCCTGGAATTATGAAAATATGAGATAGGCCTACACAAATAAAAAATGGTTCGACATAGTAAAATGTTTGTCTTTAGATTGTCTATAACTTAACTGACAATGTAAATTCAACCTCGACATTTTAATGATTTAACCCAAGAAGATTTAACTGTCTATAGAGGTTGGTGGCATCTTTTAACCTTGCATTTGCCCGTACACATAGACTAACTGCCCGTGCGTGGAACGTGTCTAGCAAAGCAAGTGGTAAGCCGGTACAGTACAAAGGTGAACTGTACTGACAAAATGATGGCGGCAGTGACCAGGATCAGAACCCAAGCACATCGCTGTCTTGGGCCTGAAGTCTGTGACGCTACCGACTGAGCCACAGACTCACCAAACTTGGATGGCAACTCATCCACATTTTTGTGAGAAAAAGTAGTAAGCCCAACCTTTGACTGTTGATAGAACTAGAAATTCCCTCCAAATGTTGTCACAAGTTTTAGAATGAAAATGGAGGTAGTTGAATTGAGTCACCGACAGAGTGTGCTGATTTTTGTAGAACATGCAAACTATATTACCAAGGTGGCAACCCTAAGGGAGAAAATATAACTCACTGTAGCACACACATCACACTCTGCGAATGACTTATTCAACTTTGAGTATAAAACTAGTTTCATCTTGTCCATATGGATACAATGACGACTTCATGTCAAAGATCTAAAATTACTAGCTACAATGGCTTACAAACAAGTAATACAAGTTAACTCTCACCTTTATTCCAGTCAGCTTTTCCTCCACTATTTTTGTCAAAATTGCTGGCATAATGAAAACAAAGCTACAAGTTGTAACAATAGGAAATACATAGTTTGCTACACTTAATATTTCAAAACCAAGATCTGGGAATTTCTGCAGTGCAATCTGAAAAAAATGTTGTTTTGATTATAAAATGTGTAAAGTGCAATTGTCTAATACATTTTATAAAAAGACAAAGTGCCAAAGAGTGAAGAAAAAGCATGAAAAACAACTTATGTACGGGTATTCAGTATGCTCCTTCAAATCATTTTGTGGAGTCACATGCATGAAAAAATACAAAAAAGCTATTAAATTATGAAGATATTTTTACCTTTGGCATTGTTGATAGTATTCAATAAATTTTTTTGTTATTATTTTCACCTGAATGTCAATTACAAATCTTATTGTTTAGACTCATTGTAAAAACAGGTTCAATTAGCTTGTCAAAACTTTTATTATTTGTTTACAAAAGCTATAATTTTTAACATTAACATGCAATTTTAATTTGATATGTATTTTGGTACAAATTTAGTTATTGTTAATGGACTACATAATTAGCTTTAATATCCTACCATAGATGAATTAAGATGGAAAACTTACTTCATGTTTTTCTCCTGTCAAACGACGTATAAAATTTGTGTCAATTATCATTTGTATGATTAAAAACATATTCAAAAAATATTTTCCTGAAACAAAAAATAGGTAAAAATTGTAACATAGATGAACATCACACTAACTTTCTTGGATATCCAGGAAGGAAAATAATATAAACAAATGTATAAAATATTCTAACCTGTACGGTATAGCAATAGCAAAACATTTTCTGTTATTTTAAAAATGCTTTTGTTGTAGAAACCTTTGCTTTTTTATCTTATTTTGTTTTGCTTTTGAGGAAAAAGTCTATACAAGTTGCTATTCTAGTCTAGTCTAGCATCTTGGATTAAAGAGTGAGACTGTTGAGGTCAATTTCCTTCCTAGCATAAGCAACAAATTTGACAAAGTTTGATTTGTGTTTATGATTTTAGTGATGTAGGAAAATATGAATGAATGATTAATTCTGTTAAATTTGCTACATAGAACAAATTATAATTTTTTTTTACTATAACTATTAAGTTTACAACATAAAATAAAGAAAACAGAAACAAAAAAGCAGCATAAGTTGAGAGAAGGTGAATCAAAAATGGCTAAATTATTGAAATAAGAGCAGATGTTACAGAACGGTATATATGAGATACAAAAGGAGTTAATTGAAGAAAAAGAATATTTTTTTTGTTAGGTATGTATATATCAATTATATCAATTATAGTGATACAAACTCTTGAAGAATACCTTGTGTTGTGTGAATGTGTAATTCCGTGCAAAATGTTATTATAATTTTTGAAAATATGAAGTAATATATTTTTAATGTAAAGTTGGTGAATAGAACGAGAGCCTTTCCTCAAATAAAGCACTGGCTTTTACACTAAAAGAAATTGTTGTATTCTAACACAGTCTTTGTTGAATTACAGTATACAATTATAAATTACATTGAAACATAGACACAATGCTACATTTTTTCATCTATGTTTGAGGAATGGGTTTAGAACATACCTGATTCAAACGGATATCCAAATAATTCATCGACAGAACTTGCGATTTCCTTGTAGTTTTTTATCTTGTACTTTAATTTGATAGGTCCAACATCACAGACTATGCCAACAATATTCATCAGTTCAAAGGGATCATTTCTACTATTCAACCATTTATTTAACTGGGCCTCGCTGGTAAATTTAGTAATATCTGAAAAAATTGAACAGCTTCAGTAAAATTCAATTTTTGGGGTACATATAAATCTATAAAAAGTATTTATGCAACAAGTTACAGTAGATTAGTTTATCCTATATTCTAAAACAAGTGTGTGTACAGGCAAACTTTTTTTGTATTTGATCACGACAAATCAATTGAAGTTCGTCAAAAGGATGGAGAAAATCCAGTTTCCCGTCCTACAGCCCTTGAAAGTGCCCATGTTTTCGTTGATACCTTTTTGTAGCTGAAGTTAATAAAAACAGCTGATAAAGGCTAGACCACAGTTCTAGGCGTCTGGCTGACGCATGCACATTAATTTGCTGTGTTAATTCCCCATCTGTCAAAACTTGGGCTAACATATGATTAAATGCAAATTCGTTACTACGCATGACTGCCAGACGCCTAGAACTGTGGTCCAGCCTTTACAGGTTATTTTTACTGTCATGATTTGATTTGACGTGTAAACAAAATCTTCTTCATACTAACTGAACTTTCCACGAAGGTTTGTTTCAGACAGTTTTTCCTCCAAGTCGGAAGCTATTTCATCCGTGGCTGGTGTGAAAGGGGCGAAACCTATTTGGTGGAATTCTCCTTGCCCCATGTTAAACTGGTCTACAAGGTCCTTTAGACGGTGGGGAGGGTATATAACGTAATCCTGTTCTGCTTTAATCTCCTTTGGGCAGTATCTAGTGAAGATGTAGAACAAGAGAAGGGGTGCCAACACTTCAAATGAGCTCAGTAGCCAGTGTCGTCTGCGCAGAACGTAGCTTTTCCATAGAATAACCTTGAACTTGTTCATTACACTGGCCATTTCACTAGAAAAAAGAAACTGTTTTAGTAAAACATATTTTAAAATATAAATTACATTTGTTGACAGTATAATTGAATTTGTAAAACAAATGCCACATTAAAGTATTGTGGATTTTACAACATATTAGTTTAAATTATAACAATCAATGTGTTCGAATTATGTTTCAGTAGGATGTGATTAGCAAACGACTTAGGTCAGAAAATCATTTCACACACTGAGTAGATTATTTAAATACTCCACATCAATTTAACTCCCTAAATGAATGTGATTAAAAATAACACTTTTATAGGCTGATCATTAATTTAATTCAGACAAATTCCTAAAAAATGTCATTAACCATTTTGTGATTTAATAGTGAGTATAGTATATAGATAAATAACATAATAATTTTGTATCATCAGTTTATCCAGATTACTCAAAATAAACGTTAATTAATTTGGGTGTCCTAAATATTAAAATGCAACATTATATATGCATGATACTGTATATGTATATTAATAATGTATGGGTTATTAATATACATATATCATATACATATACATATACACGCCGTTAGCATTTGTTAGCAGTTTTTTCGAATGGAATGGTCCAAACCCTGGACTATCTGAAGTCAAACTTTTTGTTAGATAGCATCATCGTTAGTTGACAGCCAAATAACAAAGAATTACATCTATCAATTTCCCTTGGAATTCAGACGATTGAGACACATATTATGAGACATTCAATATTTAAAGATGGGAAAAAAGTTCATTCAAAATCAAGGACAATCCTAGCATAAGAAATGTGAACAAGTTAAGCCTATTTAGTTAAAAAGTTTACATTGAACGCAACATCAATATATTACAAAAATTAAAATCGTTTACTATTTATTGTAAATTGACAGCTACTAAATTCTGCAACCTCTAACAAGAAAAAATGCAATCATTCTAACAAGGGGAATTTAAAGCCAATGGGGTGAAACCATGAGAGTGGATTTTTTGTTCTGACACAGAAAAACACTTAGAGTAAGAGCTTTCATTTGAAATGAAACTTGTAACAAATTACATTTACTTGGATCAAAATGTCACTTACATAAAAATAGTTTATTTTAGATGGTCTACAAAAGGGTGTCTGCAGTTTTCATAACCATATTTACTTATACGGTACTTTACACTTTTCACAAATATTTACAGTTTGTTAATAAAAATGTTTTGAAGATTTTCATAAAAGGGGAAAGTTATTGACCTCCTGTGATGGTCAAATTCTTTTGTATTCTGTCAAAAAACTTTAAAAAGTCTGTTTAGACTAAGTAAAAGTAATAGTTTACCAGCATGTTATTATTGAAAAATTTAGACCTGCACAAAATGAGATATTTTAACTGTACCGTATACAAAGATAGGTAGGTCGTGGAAATAATCCTTATAATTAATTCAGGGCATGAAGCTACATCAATAAAGAGACATAGACTCCATACACCAACTGAATTTAAACACTTGGTTCTTGTTCATAATTTATCAAAATGGCTGATATTACACAAATGTATTCTTGCCCATTTTGTGATCAGGTTTATACCCTTTAGATGTGTTTAATAACAATATTTTATAAAGTGTGTACTTATTACATAATTTTACATTCCTTTTAGAAAATTTTCCATTTAGGGAATAACTATTACCGAAGGTCTCATGTTAAGACCTAGACCCAGGATCAAATTACTTTTTCATTTCTATGTCCCTGGAGCCCAAAAAAAACCCATCCGCTCAAATTCATTTGTCTATTAGAATGATTAATCAAGCAAAAAGCTTATAATTTTGATTAAATTAGGTACTCTACATTAATTCAAATGAGTAGCGAACAGCATTATCGGACTATGGTAATAAGGGTTTAATGGGGGAAAAATTGGTTTTTCCATTTTTTTCACAAAAAATAAATTTTTGCAATTTATTTCCATTGGAGCTTAAAAACAACAATAATTTAGTAGTACAGTGAAGTGTTGATTGTACCCTTTACTAAAGGATAAAAAAAATATAAAAAAATGTAAATTTAAAACTCCCACGTTATTCTTACGGAAAATAAGTAAACTGTGGTAGTTTCCTTGTTTATGAGTGTATTTTTAATCAAATTTTAGTAATTTATTTATTTGATAATAAGCAATTAACATTTCATTAAAAACCAAACTTAACCACCTTCCTCCTTCCTTGTAGCAGAAAACCTAAATGCTCATTAAAACTAATAGAGAATAACTGTAACATGTTTAGGAAATATTTGAGTAAAAATTAAGCCAGCAAGTCAGTAAGTTTGCTGCAGCTATGCTGATGCACCACCAATATTAAAATCAAGATGTAAAAATCTCAGATGTTTTTATAAAATTTTGCTAAAAAATTCAAATTACTGTAAAATACAAAATACTAAATAGGTTTGTGTTGAAATAAATTAGTTGTTCTACCCGTGCTTCTCAACGGGGCGAGAATACAAAAGAGAATAATGTAGGTCATTTAATTTACTAAAAAAAAAAAAAAAAAAAAAAACAGTTAGGTTACACACTTACCATGAATTACAGAGGTGAAGTCCAATATTGTACATATTGATTATTTTAATGAAAATCTCTTGCTATTTTGGAGTTTGCAATAAACTGTGTTGCACCTAAACTAATAACTTTATTGTAGTTCAAACATAGTCTATGATATGATAAGAATCAGAAGTTTAACTCAGGAAAGAAAGTAAACAAACAATTATAAATGAAAACAAATTAATATATAACAGCTGGCGCAGATTTAATATTTGAAATAGGATCAAAAACGACCCAATAAACTAAGGTTTGTGCCCTAAGGTGAGAGTTTAACCAAACTCGGCACATATTTACAACATAAGAAATTGCACTTTTTCATCAAAGTTACAACTTTGCCCCAGCCCACAAAATGGGGTATTTTGGGGCAGCCCCAATTTTTCAAATGTAAAGACCTATCATGTGACCCCTCATTTTAAAGGGGTTATCAAGAGAAATTGAATGGTGCAAACGGTCAATATGGCGGTGGGACACACGGGAGGGACGATGGCTAACATAGTGTCAGCGTTCGCCGCTAGAAACCGCTAGTTGAAAAATTTGAATTAAGTTAATTTTATAATTTTTAGTTATAAAATTAACTTTTTAATTATAAAACTAAACTGTCATAACCTAACCTAACCAACCAAACTTGCTGATAATATAAAAAATATATAAGGTAAAAATTAAATGAATGTTTACTATAATTTTTAATTATAAAACCAATTTTACAATTTTGTATTATAAAATTAAACTGTCATAAACTAACCTAACCAACCAAACTTGCTGATATAAAAAAGATATAAGATAAAAATCAAATAATGCAAAATCTTTGCCAAAAAGCTAATGTCCCCGACGGGATTCGAACTTCAGACCTCCTGAATACCAGTCCGCGCTACCAACTATGCCACGAACGCCGCTGGAATCACATCGTCTCGTTACGGTAATCGTGTTGCCTCAAGAGAAGACATTAGCCACTACAGATATGACGTCACCCCACCTTTAGCCATCGTCCCTCCCGTATGCCCATTCCCTCAATATGGCACCCCTAATCAAAATGGCAGCCATTTTAATTATTTAAGATGAGCAAGCAAGATAAAGTCTGGACACCCCCAGTTAACTTAAAAAATTTTATATTTTAATACTGACCAAAAGTTAAATTCTCTTTTTTTATAAAGGTATGCTGAGTTTAGTATTCCTGCTATAACCTGTTAAAAAGTTAAAAAGGGATATTTCAAAATTACTGCCATTTTGATTAGGGGTGCGATATTGACCTCTAATTTGCGCTATTAATTTGCCTTGAAAAACCCTTTAAAATGAGGGGTCACATGATAGGTGTTTACATTTGAAAATTTGGAGCTGCCCCCAAAATACCCCATTTTGGCGGCCGGGTACAAGTTTTAACTTTAATGAAAAAATGCATTTTTTTAAGTCGTAAACATTTGCCGAGTTTGTTTTTCCCGCTGCCACTCGTTATAAAGTTAACTGGGAGTGTCCAGACTTTATATTGCTTGCCCATCTTAAATTAAAATGGCTGCCATTTTGATTAGGGGTGTGATATTGACCTCTGGTTTGCGCCATTCAATTTCTCTTGATAAACCCTTTAAAATGAGGAGTCACATGATAGGTGTTTACATTTGAAAATTTGGGGCTGCCCCCAAAATACCCCATTTTGGGGGCTGGGGCAAAGTTGTAACTTAGATGAAAAAGTGCAATTTCTTTTGTTGTAAATATGTGCCGAGTTTGGTTTTCCTACTGCAACGCGTTAAAAAGCTAACTGGGGGATCCAGACTTTTGCCTAACCCTGTATAGTGTTATGGTAATGGTAATAATGGTAATATTGCCAATTAGTTTTAATGAGTAAAAAATAAACACTTAAATGTTTAACAAATTAGCCTATTTCATTTAATGAACAGATGTTCATAAAAGATCATATTACCTAGAAAATGTCCAACTGTCTCTGTCTGCATAAACTGCATAAAATGGTTTTGAACCACACAGACACAAACCATTTTGCTTTGTGGAAGGTAATTTTGAAGCAGCCTAGCAGGGTACATTTTTACATATATAATATGTAGGAGGGTAGGCCTATATTTTTCCCGCTATAATTAATTCATAAATCACAGATGACATTCCATGTTTCCATTGTACATAACAATACATTGTGGCACAAAAACAAACTATATTACATGAAAATATAAAGTAATGTTATATTTTTTAATATTGTTTATAACTACAAATGTTGCTTAAGTTACAGTATAGTTTAAACATAGGCTAATGCCAAGCAACTTAGTAGACCATTAACATGTTAATGGTTTATGAACTATGTTGTCATTCAATTAAAAATCATAAACCAATATATGGATGTTTGATGTTTCAATAATAGCCTACCATATAGGCCTAATTACATAGAGACAACCTTAAACAAAATAATTCGCTATAAGTATAAAATTGAATAAATAAAAGTACTCACACTTTGAAT